ACCGGCAGGGGCGAGGCAGGACGTGCAGGTGGGGCAGCAGGGAAAGGGGGGTGGGCAGCAAGGGGTGGAGAGGCCCAACATGAGGCCTGAGGTGGCACTGGGGGCCTTACGGCCCTGCTTGCCCCCGTCCAGCACCGGCTGGTTGCCCGCCCCACACCTTGGGCCAAAACATCAGCCGGCCGAGCGCGCAAAGAAAGAGGCGCAGCCAGCTCACCGCATACCAGCTGGCGGTGCCTGGGTCGTTGAAGGGGTTGGGCGGACCAAAGGTGAACATCTCAAAGTGCAGGATGACGTCTTTGGCCGCGCTGCGCGAGCCATGGGGGTGGGGGCAAAGCAGGCAGGAGCCGCGGTGGGCAGGCGAGAGGCAGCGCGCTTGCAGCTTTGCAGCGGCAGCACGGGGCTGAGCGCTAGCGTGCATGGGGGGGCCTTTGGGAGGGGACGGCGCCAGCAGCAGCAGGCGGGGCGGGAGCCGCAGCGCACCCGAGGGCAGCCTTCACCGGGCCGCAGCCATTGGCGTTGGGCAACCACTTGGGGTCGTCTGCATGCAGGAGCGGAGCAGCACGCACAGCATGCACCTCACCGCTGCCTCAGCAGCGGCAGGGGCTGCCAGGCAGGGCTGCGGATGCAGGCTGGCAGCCGCAGGCGCCGGCAGGCTGCGCACCCTCGACAATCACCACGCCGTTGGCGCTGAAGGTTTGGATCATGCTGCTGCCAAAGGCGTGCGGGTGGTACCAGTGCATGCCTGCAGGGCAGCAGGAGGGTGTGCGTTGATGGGCAAGGGGGCCACAGTTTTGGAGCAGGCGCTGCACTCACAGCTGCGGTTGTAGCCCCCTGCCCTCCCCTCCACTCCCCTGCACAACACACACATAAGCACATAAGCACAGCAGCAGCAGCAGCAGCAGCAGCAGCAGCAGCAGCAGCGATGAACCGCCGCCGGTACCGCACCCGGCAGGTGGTCCTTTGGCAGCTGCGACCGCCAGTACAGCTTGCCGCCCTTGGGCGGCACCTTAATGAACATGTTGTCCCCACCTGCACATGCCAGGCGGGGAGACAGCAGCGGGTTTGCAAGCAGCTGTGCCGTGGTGCACAGGGGCGGCAGCGGCGGGTGGGCAGCTTGCTGTGTATCGGTGGTGGTGGGCTGGAGCGGGTGGCGTGCGCATGTGGGGGTGGGGGTGTGTGCGCATGTGCGGGTATGAAAGGTCAGGCTCAGGCGCAGCTGTTCACCGGTGTACTTGGGGTTGGGGGTCTGCGCCTGGATCCCGGGGGCGTCGTGCACGCCGTGAGTGTGCAGGTTGGTCTGGGTTGGGTCTGCGTGGCAGTGGGGGGGGGGGGGGGGGTAGCAAGTAGGGGCCGGCAGGCTGGGTGGCTGATGCTCGGCTGCCAGCGGAGCAGCGCGGAACAGAAAAAAGAGAGGGGCGGCGACCTTCACCACCAGCCGCTGCCAGGGAAGCCTCTCCGCCGGAGCAGAGACGGCGGCGGCCGCCGCAGCTCCCCGCCAGTCCCCGGCAGGAGCTGCGCTCACGCTGGAAGCCAGCCGAGATGTTGGGCGTGTTCTTAGGGTCGGCCTGCGGCAGGTCGTTTGTGAGATCTATCCAGTACCTGTCTCCGGCCCGCAGGCGCAGTGTGGGTCCTGCAGCAGAGGGGGGCACCCCTCTGGGGATTCAGAGGAGCAGGCGCGTCATCCCTCCTGTGCACCAGTGCAAGGGGTGCGCAGCGGCACGGGCGCACCGTGCAGGAAGGTGCCGGCGGCGGACCGGTACACCATGCCGTTGAAGCGCAGCATCTTAGGCTTCCTGCCGGTGGGGCCCTGCATGGCAGAGGGGCGGCAGGCAGCGTCCTTGGGTGAGCACTGGCGTGGCGCGGTGAGGTGGCGCGGCAGAGGCTGAGTGGAAGGCGGGCCTGGAATGCTGGGCGCCGCCGCCCGACGGTAGCCCCACCATCACGGTAGCCGCCACCAGGTGGATGTCTATCTTGTTGACCAGCTTGCTGGGGTTGAGCAGGCGGGCGCCGGGCAGCTTGGAGAGCTCCACACCGGCACCGGCAAAGTGGACTACGGGCTGGCGTGCCGCCGCTGCGGGGCGCCAGGCGGCGGCGGGCAGGCGGGGTTTGCTCGGCGCTGGCTATGCGTCGGCATCGCGATGCGGCATTCTGTGCAGCCTCTCTAAGCCGCTGGCCCAACACAGCTGTTTGGACAGCCAGTACCGCCACCCCGTGCTCACCCGCCAGGCCTGTTGCCTGCGCTGCAGCGACAATCGCCAGCGCCAGCACTGTGAGCTGCATGCTGCCGCCCGCCGGAGGGAGGTCTGCTGGGTTTCGGAGGCTGATGGCGGAGGCTTGCGGACGGACTGTGCCGGAGGCTGCAGGGGTTCACAGGCCTCTGGGTGGCACGGGGGCAGCAAACTGTCTTGATCAAGCCTGCATGCCCAGCGGCATTACCGCCATGTCTGCTGCCTGCTTGTGCCCGCCCCTGTCGCAGCGCATGCACATCCCGAAGGGTCAGTGACCCGGTCTCCTCCTTAAGCCCCATTCACCTCATTCCCGCAGGCAGCCTCAGTGACTTGTGTCGTGGACCTGCTCAAATTGGCGCCACAGTTCTCCTCTCGGGCGACCTGCCGAATCGCCAGCGACCTTGAGGGTGGCAGCGCATGAGCTGGAGGGCTCATGGCAAGGGGCGGCGGCGGCGGCAACGGCCATGCCTGCATGCCTGCATGCACGATATCGGCTGAGTGGCAGGCAGGCCTCACAAGTTGATGGCCCTCCCCATCGCCGCTGCCCTCTCGCCCAGCCGTGCACGGACGTTGACTGCATGCGCTGTGGCTACAACTGTGACATGTGCCAGGTGTGCGCCGGTGAAAAGAAGGCTGGCAATGGGGCTGTCTACAGGCTGAAGAAGGGCATGTGCACGCCAGCTGCTACGGCTGCAGCGGCGTCGCTTGGCATCCCCTAGCCGCTCAAGTGCCACTGCTAGCTGCCGAAGCCTTTGAGCAAGCGTAGCACCGTCATGTCATCGGAGACCTTGCCCAGCACACTGGGAGGGTCCCCGCCTATCCTGCAATTGTAAACATGTGCAAGGGGGTCCCACGCCGCCTGCTGTGCCAACGCCGCCTGCTGTGCCACCTCAGCACCGTGGATCCCCTCAACTTCCAACGTCTGCGTCCAGGCTTTGAATGTGTGGTCCACTCCGGCCCGGCCATGACCGCCCCGGGCGCGCAGTTCTTTGAGAGGCGACTTCAACGAGCGCGTGCAGTTCCCGAGGCGGAGCGCACGCCCGAGGTGCGCGCCTTCCTGGAGGGCGTGCGCCTGCTGCAGGACGCGACCGACCTGTTGCCGCTGAATACTAGCGGCGGGGGCCAGCGCTGCCGCCGGGGCGCGCAACCCGCCACCAGGCGCTGCGAGCCTTCTGGCTGCTGGCACGTGTTGGCTACCTCTGTCCAACCCCACCCAGGGTCTCCCCACGGTGGCCTGCGTGTCTACACCTACCTTCAGCTATTTGGCAGCCCCGCCGGCGAAGTGAGCGGCAGCTGAGGCAGCGGAAGTGCAGACGCGCTCGCCGATGTGCTGTGCCTCTACGCGAGGTCGGCGTACAGCAACGACGCTGGCGACAGCCTGCGCAGCGCCAGCACGGCGGCTGCGATGCTGGCAGACCCACGGAACCGGCGGGCCCTGCGCCGCAGCCTGGCACAGCTGACCGCGAATATGCACGGGCCTCGCCTGACCCTGCAGCAGCTGCAGGTGGTGTGCTATTCTGTGGCTGGGGCCGCTGCGGAGACTCTGCGATTGATGCAGCATCCCGAAGCTAAAGGTCGCTGGCAGCGCCGTGGCTTCACTGGGCCGACCCTCTCGACAGCTGAGCTACAAGAGATGGATGCTGTGCAGCTCAGCCAAGCAGCTCACTTGCTGGAGCTGGAGCCCGATACGCCCCATGTGTGCTTCAGGGCTGCCTGTGTATTCCTGCTGCGTGGGGAGCCGAAGCGAGCAGCCGAGCTGTTTTTAAGGGCGATACAGCTATCGCAGCAGCAGGGGAGCCCTTAATATGTCGCCACGGCCGTGGCATGGAGAATGAGTGCAGCAAACCAGCAAGAGCTGGGAGAGGACAGCGCAACCCTGGAGGCAGCGGCGGCTGCCTTCCAACTGGCGCAGCCTGCGCTGAATAGCTGCAAGAGCCTGCTCCCGGAGGAGTGGGTGGCGGCCACGCAAGCTGTCATAGATGCTGCCAAGCAGCTGCTGCCGGGCATAGAGGCGCAGCTGCGCTACCTGCACCAAGCAAGCCGCAGCGATGGCGGCGGCGGCAGCAGCAGCGGCGACGCCGCTGCAGGCGAGAATGTTGAGCTGGCAGCATTGGCGAGGGCAGCCATGGAGGCCAGGAGTGCGGCCACACATGCGTTTCTGTCGAGTTCAAATCCAGAGCAAATCGCGCACTGCTGTGGGTGCGGCAAGGTTGCCGTCGGGCTGCGGCGCTGCGCCGGCTGCAGGCGTGCGCAGTACTGCAGGTGCGGCGCGGCTGCTCAGGCGTTGGCTGTGCAGAAGGAAGGCCCACAGGCCATGAGCACGGCACTGGCCTACCTGCCGCTGCCTGCCTGCAGTCGAGAATGCCAGGTAGCGGCCTGGGCGAGCCACAAGCTGGAGTGCCGGCGGGAGGAAGCTGAGGGCAGCTAGCTGGGAGCTGACTCAGCGCCCATGCACATCAGCTGTCACCACGTCATGGTGAAGATGTACACCCTAACATCCCAAGCAAGCTGCCCAGCCTAGCACCACTGCACACCCTTTGTTTGATACCTGTTTGGTGCCAGCATGTCACATCGCGGTCATGGTCAGAAGCAAGAAGGCAAGGAAAGTCCACTGAAAATCACTGCAAACTCCCAACAAACAACTGTCCTATCAGTGTGTTCACAGTAGCATTCCCTTGCACAGGCATGGCCGGCCTGCCAAGCCCTGCCATCTGCAGCTGCAGCCGGCTCCCCAGCACATCGGTCCTTGCCGCAGCGGCCCTCGCGGCTCGCTCAGACTGACAGCCCCTCCCGCTCAAGGCGCGTGACCAGCTCGTTGCACATCTCCAGCAGCTGCTGCTTGTCCTTCTCCTTGGCCTGCACGAGCCGCCGCATGGGGTGACAAGCTGAGCGGCTGACGCCCACGTCCACGGCGCTGCCTCCACCAACCCTTTCCACCCGTATCACCAGGCCAGGCAGCTGCAACAGCGCAGCCCCCACCCACACCCATCCAGCTGCCAGGAGTTTGGACTTGCAGCCACCACCAGCGCCGCCGCCACCACCACCACACACAAACACAGCCACCCCGACTGCCCCACCCACCTGCACGTCCTTCTCCAGCCCAGCGATGGTTGTCTTGTACCGCTCCTTCATCTCGAAGAACTTTCCATTCTCACGCTTGTACTCCCGCAGTGCCCCCTCATACTCCTTGAGCCGCACCTGCAGCAGCAGGGTGGGAGGAAGGCAGGCAGGCAGGCAGGGCAGTCAGAGAGGCCGCAGGCCCCGGACATGGGTGATGACACGGTGGAGGAAGGAGGGGCAGGCAGGGGGGAGGGTTGTGCAGGCAGCGACGTGGCGCAGGCCCCAAGCCCGGTGCCACCAGCCAGCCTGCTGCGCCGCCCTTTGTTGCCCCGGCTCACCTCCAGCGCCACCACCTCCTCCTCCTTGCGCTGCACCTCAGACTGAGCTCGCTCGCGGGCCTGCAGGGAGGGCCAGGGAGGCCCAGGGAGGGCGGCCAAGGAAGCGCAGCAGCAGCTCAGCTGGAGAGGTACGCCACGGTGCGATCGGGGCACATCGCAATCCCCCGTCACCACAATTAGGCACAAATGCACCACCAAGGTGCCTGCAGCGAAGATTGTTCCTCCCCCTGCCCGCCCCACCCACCTGCTTGGCTAGGTTGATGCGATGCACCGCCTCATCGTACTGCTTGGTCACACCCTCGTACCTCGCCCGCAGCTCGCCCAGCTCTGCCTCCTTTGCTGCCACCGCCTGCACGAGCGGGGTTGCCGGACCAGGTCAGGAGAAAGGTGCAGGGGAGTGAAGGTTTGGCAGAGCACGCAGCACGTCAGCTAGGCACAGCCCACCCCCGCTTCTTGGCCGCACCTTTTCGGTGCGCCGCTGCTCGCCCGCCAGCTGCTGCTGCAGGCGCTGCTCCGCCTCGCGCGCCGCCGCCGCCTCGCCCTGCTGCTCCAGCATGCCGGCCTTGTACCGCTCAGCCCGCTCCACAGCCGCCGCCAGGTCCTGCCGCGTGGCGGCCGCCTCTCTGGCAGCCTTGTGCGCCTGCGTGGCAAGGACGGGCAGGCAGGCCAAGCCGCTTCAGCCAGCTGGCAGGCGTGAATGGCGCATGCTGTTTGCCCGCACGCGCCTCCTCTGTCTCAACCGCCACTCAGCCCGATCCAACCCATCGCCCCAAAGACCCCTCGTTGAATCTCCTCCCAACAGGCCCCCCTTCTGTCCTCCAGCCACCGAACCGGGCACCCGACCCACCCACCCGCAGCTCCTCAGCGACCACCCGCTTCTGCAGCGCCGCCACCTCATCCCGCAGCCCCGCAGCCTCCGCCTTGAGCGGCACATACTTGTCGCCGTACAGCGTGCGGAACTGGGAGTCCACGCCGGCATGCGCCCGCCGCAGGTCGTCCCTCTGCGGGGCAGCAGCAGGAGGGGCACGGCAGGCGGATCTGGGGTGAGGCAGCGGGCATGGACTGGGAGAGAGGGCGCGAGGCAGTGCCAGAGGAGGTGGGCAGGGGAGGGGAGACGGGCGGGCACCCTGTTGACTACAGGCAATGAGCACGCCGTCCGGCACCACCTAGCCAAGCCCTCACACCCCGCTGTCCCGCCCGTTGCTCTTACCACCACACGCACCTACGCAGAACCACCACAACCTACCCAGCACCACCTATCGAGCCATGCACTGCCACCACATCCCGCCCACCTCTGCCTTGAGCGCCGCCGCCTCGCCCTGCAGCCGCACCACCATGGCCGAGTGCTGGTCCTGCAGCTCGCGGATGCTGCTCTGGTAGCCGCCCAGCAGCCCCACAACCTCCTCGCGCTGCGCGTTCGACTCAGACAGCTGTGGAGGAGGGGGCCGGGGAAGGGAAGCACCACGGAAGGGGCAGGTGTGGGCAGTGGGGGAGGAGAAGGGGCGATGCAGCGGGACGCTAGTTCCAGCCCCGACACGGGTGGTCATGTGCAGGTAAGCACAGAGCCAGAAGGCAGGGCTGCCTGCTACATGCAGGCTATAGCCCCACCTGTAGCCGAAGCGATGCCACCTCCTCCCGCAGAGCCCTGACCTCAGCCGGGGTGACGGCTGCACCGGCAGCGCCCGCGCCCCGCGGCCCTCCGCTGGTGCCGGCGGCCGCGGCTGCTGGAGGCGTGAGTCCCAGCAGGTGGTGCCGCAGGAGCGGTGTGGGGCCTTCCTGGGTGCTGCGCTCCCCGTTGGCATCGTAGCTGCACATCGGGGGGTGCAGGGTGGGGGGCATCACGGCTGTGGAATACAGGGCAGGGAGCAGAACACAGCAACGTGGCACTTGCAGCAGCTGGTCCCACAGCAGCGCTGTGCAGGCGTCACCACTGCTGACGTGTGGTGCCCCTCCCAGCCTGGCCAGCAGCGCACCTATCCAGGTCCAGAAGCGTGGCGGGGCCCGCGGCAAAGGACAGGCGCGGCAGGCGGGCGCCCCCGGCGCGCCGCACGGTCGTCGCCCCAGCCGCCGACCGCCCCAGCGCGGGCTGCTGGCCCAGCGCGGTGGCTGGGGTGCGGGCATCCAGGGCCTGCAGCAAAGCCCAATGCGGACAAAAAAAACAAGCATTCAGCAGCAGTCCTGCCACACACAGGCTGCAGTCCCAACCGCTGCAAGCTGCCTGCAAGCAGTGCCATCACAGCCTAAGCGTAAGGGCCGCCACCCACCTGAATCATGGCCTCCACATCAGCGGCAAACTGGAAGCGCCCAGTGGCAGGGGTGCCGGCCGCGGCGGCCAGCCGGGCAGCGCCGGGTGTGGCCAGCGCCGCCAGCCCCGCGGGAGCCGCGGGGACCTGCAGCTGCTCCGCCACTGCAGGGCAGGCGGGAGGAGGCGGGCAGCAGCGATCACGAGACCTCTCCCTGCCATGCCGCTCCAGCCTTCAAAGACAGACAGCTGGATCAGGTGTGCCTGCCATGCGGTTGCAGACAGCGCAGCCCGGTACAAGACGGAAGCAGTGTCTGTCTGCCATAGCAGGAAGTCTGCGTGGGCAGGCCCGCCGCACCTTGGTGCATCTGCTCAGCCAGCTGCATGCCCACAGAGGCCGGGGTGCTGCCGCCGCTGGCTGCAGACAGGGGCGTGCCTGCACCCGGGCCAGCCGCTTGGCAAAACAGGTGAGTGGCGCGCGATGCAGCAGCTGCGCAGCAGGCTGAGAGAGAGCAGACATGCAGTACACAGCCCAGCACAGCGCATTGCATGCCTACTGGCTGCAGCCGGCAGGCGTCCGCGGGGGACAGTGCTTCACCTCCCATGCTGGCACGGCCGGAGAAGCTCTTGAGGTTGACAGATGGAGGGGTGGGGTGGGAGGGGGTGCCCGCGTACATTGGGTTGTTGCTGAGAGCGCCCGCCGACAGCCCGCTGCACGGGCATTGTGGGAGGGAGTTGGAGCGGGGAGGGGTCAAGCTCACTCCAGCGGTCATCAAAGCTGACTCAGCAGTACACGCTGGCGTATTGGCAGGCACTGAGGAGCGGCGCGCAGAGCTGGAGAAACACACCAGCCAGGCAGGCACCTGCCGGCGAGCGCACCTGGGGGCCGGGGAGTGGCCGACCCGCTGGCTGCTTGCAGCAGCGGGGGTGTCGCCTGCGCCTGCCAGAGGGTTGGAGGACATAGCAGGGGAGGGGAGGCGCCCGGCTGGCTGTCCTGCTCGATCCTGTACCGCCGTATCCGCCCCCTGCTGCTGCTCCCCCTGCTCCTCCTGCTGCCGCTGCTCCTCCTCGGCTGCCGCAGGGGAGCGGCCCACGCTCCCGCTGGAACCAGCCGGCGATATGGCCGACACTGGACGGGCAGCAAAGACAGCGGCAACGGCCAGATCTGGTACAGCTGCTGCCAGGTGGCTGCCGCGCCTGTCGTCGGCTGCCCCAGGGAGGCTGCCGCACGCGCCGCTGCTGGCATCAGAGGCACGGCGGCTGCGGGGTGCACCCGACAAGCTGCTGCGCACGCTCTGGGCCGGCCCCGAGGACAGCGCTGGCGACATGGCCAGCTTGGGCTTGGCTGCAAAGGCTGCCGCCGCCAGCGCCTCCTCCTCCTCCTCCTTTCCACCCGCCAAGCCCAGCTCAGCTGCCTCTGCTGGCTGCTGGCCGACGCTCGGCGCCGCCGCCTGCTCAGCGGCGGCGCCAGCGGCAGGCGCCTGCGCATCTGCAGCGGTGGGCGGCTGCTCCGCTGCCAAAGCTGTCTGAAATGCCACGGGCTGCTCCTCAGCAGCGATTGCCCCAATGTCGGCCGGGAGCTCGGCATCTTCGGCTGCCAGTCGGGCCCGCCCGGCAAACTGCGGCGGCTCCACGTCGGCACCCCCATCAGCCTCCTTCTCAGCAGCTGCCGCCAGCTGGCCAGCCGCCTGCTCCTCCTGCGCAGCCTGCTCCTGCTGCGCAGCCTGCTGCTGCTGCGCCTCAGCCTGCTGCGTGGCTTCCTGGGTTTCAGGCTGCGGTGCCGGCTCTGCCGCAGGTGCCGCACCATGCAGCGGCGAGGATGCCAGCTTGGGCCGGGGTGCAAAGGCGAGCGCTTCCTCGCCGCCCACCATTCCAGACGGCAGGCTGAGGCGGCTGGCCCTGCTTCCGCGGTCCGCGCCGCCAGCTGCCTGCCAATTGGCTGGCATGCTGAGGCGCCCGGCGCGCCCCCTCCGCGCCGCCGCGTCATGCACAGGCAGCTGCGGAAGGATGGGAGCCGTGTCGCCGCTGTTGCTCCCTTGCTCTGCTGCTGGCTGCACCGGCTCTTCCTCTGCTGGGGCTATGTCCTGTTGCACTGCAGCTCCAGGCTGCTCCGCCTCCTCTGCTGACGGTGCTGCCTCCACGGCAGCAGGGGCCTGCTCCTGTAGCTCTGCCACTGCCTCATTTTCCTCTGCCATGCTCGGGGACGGCAAGCTGGGCTGCCGCGCTGCGGCCGGGGTGGGTGCCCGCCCATCTGCTGGGGCAGCGGGGGCCAGGCCGGCGCCTGCCTGGGTGTGGCTGGCAGAAGTGTGGGCCTCGAGCTGGAAGCGGCTGCTGCCGGGAAGCGCCCTGCGGCCTGTGGTAGGCCTCGGCGTGAAGTCTGCAGGGCATGGCGGCAGGCAGCGGCGGCGTCGGGCGATCGGCACACCGGGCAGGGGCAGCACATGCAAACAGGGGCAGCCACGTGCCGCCTCTCCCGCTCTGCTGAGGCGAGGCAGACTGCAAAGTAGCTGCAGCAAGCAAGCAGTGGCTGGCAGCGTCAAGGTCTCTCACCAATATCCATCATCACCACATCCTCGCCATCGTACTCTGTGGCGGCATAGGGCGTGGCCGGCACGGGAGAAGGTGCCACCATGGGCGCCGCCACCACCGCTGGGGATGCCGCCGCAGGGCTATAAGCGGCTGCCGCTTCTGCAAGGCTGACCCTGCGGCCTTCAGCATCCGCTGGTGCCGGCTGCGCAGCAGCCGCGCTGGCCCTGCGGCCCACCGCCTCAGTGCCGGCCTCACTGGCGCCGTCAGTAGAGGCAGTAGCCGCCTGCTCAATCGCCTCTGCCACTGCAGACGCACCCACCGGCAGGCTGTGCCGCCCCGGTGCCAGGAGGCCCCCAGTCGCGGCACCGCCCAGTCTGGGGGAGGCGGGGGTGTTTGCCGGCGCGGCGGGGCTGGCAGCGCCCTGCAGGCTGAGCCGCAGCTGCTGCGGGGTGGCGGCCGCGGCCGGGGGGAGCGCTGCCTCTGCCGCCGCCGGCTGCTCCTGGAACAGGCGCTCCGCTGCAGGAGCATGGCAGGCAGCACAGCATGGCATGGCATGCTCAGTGAGCAGCAGGTGCAACCGGCCTAGTCGCTGCAGGCGGCCTCCACTCCACCACCCACCCAGACAACAGCCAAGCGGCCAGGCAGCCTGCAGCGCCACGCCATCCACGCAACGAGCTACCCACGCAACCGCCCGCCAAGCCTGCCGCAGCCCCGCCACCCACCAGAGTAACGCAGGCTGGCCTCAGAGAACTCAATGTTGAGGGAGGGGGCGGCAGTGGCGCTGGAATTTGAAGCCACGCTGGCACGGCTGGCCTCCGACAGAGGCGCCAGGCCGCCGCCGCCCTCCACCACCTCCCCCGCCGCCGCATCTGCCACCGCTGCTGTGGCAGGGACGCCGACGGAAGCGCTCCGCGCGGGCTGAGCCTCCGGCTTGGGTGCAGGAGGCGATGACGGCGCCTGCTGCTGGTGCTCCTGCTGCTCTCCAAACGCCGCCGCTGCGACCGCGGCTGCCAGGGCGGCCTCCTCGGCAGCTGCGTGAGCGATGCCGCTCGTCAGGCTGTCCCGCAGGCTCTCCACCTCGCCAGCTGCCGCACCAGCCCCAGCCAGCGGCGCACCCGCCAGGCTGCTGCGGCGGCTGCCTCCCGACAGCGCGGGAGACAGGCTGGTGCGACGGGGCGGTGGGCACCCAAACAGAGGGCCCTCCAGGCTGCCATCCAGCGCAGGCAGCTGGCTGCAGGCCGACTGAAACACGTCGCTGGCGGCAGTGGGCCCTGCTGCCAGCCGCGGCGCCGCTCCCTGCTGCCCCGCTGCCTCGCCTGCCAGCAGCGGCGAGTCGCAGAGTTCAGGCTCCGGGGCTGCGGCGGCCGCGGGGTCGGGAAGGGCCGCTGGCTCGTCCCCCGCCTCCTCCACCCAGCGCCGACCCTGTTGCTCGTCATCGCCCAGCATCTGATCGTGCTCGCGATCAGGCACAACCGTGCTGGCATCAGAAGCCACGCTGGCCGCATCACTGCCGCCCTCCTCATCCTCGATCACCACGTTGCCGACGGCGGCAGGGTGGGGCAGCGCCGCCTCGCGGGCATCGGCCCACACTGCAGCGCGGCAGGCGGTGGGGCAACAGGACAGTGCTCGGCACAGCTGTGCCCTGTGCAGCTACCAGAGGAGGCGGTAGGCAGGCAGGGTGCGGTCATGCCATGCTGTGCAGCGCAGCCCATCACCCACAGCGTGCAGTAAACAGGCAGGCACCTCTGCCTGCCCGCTGGCTGCAGCAGCGCTTGCCCACCTCCGCTGCCCTCATTCGACGGCGCGCCGCCGCTGTCGGCATCAACGAAATGCTCCTCTTCCGAATCTGTCCCCGCCGGGACGGCCGCTGCCGCCGCCAGTGGAGCATTGACAGCTGGCGCCGGCACAGCCGCCTCCTCCTCGTGCTGCCACTGTGGCTGGCGCTGGGGGGGCGACAGCGAGGAGCGGAGCACCGGCGCCAGCACCGCGGGTAGCGGCCGCGGCTGCGGGGTCACCTCGTCCTGCCATGCCTGCTGCTGCTGCTGCACCGCAGCAGGCGCCGGCCCTGGCGGCAGCACGGCAACGCCGCCTGGCAGCGGCGCACGGGCTGGCGCCGCCGGCTGCGGCGGGTGGAACATGATGCTTGGGAAGCGGGCCTGGTGCTGCTTCTCCGCCACCTGCTGCTTGGTGCCGGGCGAGGGCAGCGCCACGGGCGGCGGCGGCGCGGGGGTGTTGGTTCCCACCAGTGCGACGTGCCGCCGGGCCGGCGCGCCCGTCACGGTGCTCACCACGGCTGCATGGCGGCGCGGCGGAGCGCGCCCGGCTGCCAAGCTGGCCGCCTCTTCGGCGATGGCGCCCAGAGCGGGCGCGGCAGCAGTGCGCCGCGGCAGTGGAGGCCCCGCTGCCGGCCTCAAGCCGGCGCCGCCGGCCGGCCGGCCGGGCGGCGGCGCTGCGGGGCGGCTGAAGGCCGGCGCGCCGCTGCTTCCACCGTGCTGGTGCTGGTGCTGCCTGTCAAAGGTGCTGATCTTGTTTTTGACTTGGGAGTTGCGGGCAACCACCAGGAGCGACTCCCGCGGCGGCTTGCGCTGCACGAGGTCATCCTTTCCGCCGCCACAAGCGACGGGCGGCGGGTGCTGCTGCCGGAAGAAGTCGGCTGCGGGGCGGGAGTAGGGCGTGCGATGCCGAATTAGAGGAGGAGGGACGGCAGCGGCGAAGAGAGCGGGCTACCGCTGGCGGCGGCGGAGGGTGTGCCCTGGTGCGGCTGGGCGCCCGTCGGCGGTGCTGCACCAGCTCATGCACTGCCGCAGGCTGCTCTGGAGCGCCTCACAGAAGGCCGGGAAATCCAGACGGAGAGCTGTCGCCCGGCTGCGCCCAAACCCGCATTCTAACAACTGCCACGCAGGGGTCACCCACCCGCACTAACAAATCCATCGGCATCATTTTCTCGGTTCTCCATTGTCCGAGGCGGCGCGGCGTCCGCCAGGCGCCCTGACAGAGACTGGCAGATGGCGTCAGACCCCCAGCGGGCTGGTGGTGGGCATGGTGGACCGGCTTGAATGCGACTGAAGCCCATGCGGCGGCTAAGTCGCCCGTGGGCTCAAACGTACCGCATTTGCGCAGTACATCGTCCTCTCCGTCCTCCCTTTCGATCTCATCGCCACGACATGGTCTCCTCATGGCGTTAACGGCCTAGTACCCCCCCTCGGCAACTTGTTTTGGTGACAAGGCGCCACGTCAGGAATTTGCCTCGGGTTCTGAAGCCCAGGACAAGTGCTTTACGTGCCTGGCGATGATCCAGTTCCCTTGTTGAGTCCCATCTGTCTCCTAGTGATCGCGGGCCGACATGTCGCTCACAGCGCGGCAGGTGTATCAGTCGGGGGCCAGCACGAGCGTGGAGTGCGTCTCGTGCGGCGAGACATCCACCACGGCTTCGTGGCGCAAGGGTTGGCCCATCCCAGGCGGCCAATACGCCAACATGTGCAACAGGTGTGCCCCAGGCCGCCCCGCCGCCGACCGGCCCCAGGCAGCGCCTCGGGCTTGTTGTGCCAATGGGAGCAAAGGCTGCCTCCCCCTGCCCGTGCCGCTGCAGATGTGGGCAGTCGTGGGTCAAGCTGGGCAGGCCCGGCAGCCTGGCGCAGCTACGGGAGGCTGAGCGAAGGAAGGCGGCAGGCGGCGGCGCCGCCGCCGCCGGCTCCAAGCGCCCTGCCGCAGACGCGTCCCTGCCGCCCTCCCCGCTGCTGCGCGGCGTGCTGGCGGGACAGGAGGCGGGGGCCGCCAAGCGGCCACGGCTGCCGCCGCTGGCGCTGGCTCTGCCACTGCGGCCGCGGCGCCGGCTGTCATCCGGGGAGGAGTCGCCCAGCAGCTCTGCAGACACCACCACCCCATCGCTGGGCAGGCAAGTGGGGCACCAGGAAGGCCCCCCAGCCTGGTGGCCACCTCGCATTAAGCCCTGCTCTTGCCATCCTGCCGCACCCCTGCCACAGCCTCGCTGGGCCGCATGCCAGGCCTGAAGCCCCCTGGCTGGCCAACCCTCCCCACTGACGCCGGCTTGCCGGCTTGGCCAGCCGTGCCTCCTCACCTCCCTGATCCCTGCCCTTCCCTGTCCCCCTTTGCTTTGCTTCTTTGCTTGCAGGTCACGAAGCTTTGATGGCCCCGCAGCCCACCCCACCCCGCAGCAGCAGTGGGCGCGCAGCCTGGCTGCGTCGGGCGGCCCGCGCTTTGTCTCCTACGCCGTCCAGAAGCTGACGAGCGGCAAGGCGGCCCACGCGCTGTTCTGGCTGCAGGACGAGCGCGGCGACAGCACGCTGGCCGCGGTGGTGAGCGCCCGCCCGCCGGCTGCCTGCCGGGACCTCACTGCGCTCCTCGCCGCCCAAGCCAGCCCTGCGTGCTGCCTCCTGTCGGCATCCCCTCCCCTGCTGCCTCGCCGCACCACCCGCGCATCCGCCGCGCGCCTCCCCTTGCCCCTGTGCCTATGCAGGGCACCGACGCCCGCCTGTCGGGCCACTTCATCTACTCCAGCTGCCCCGCCTTCCTGGCACTGGGCCTGGCGCCGCCGCTGCGGGTCACCAACAGGGGAGAGGTGGCCGCCTGGCTGGCCGGCTTCGGGGTGGCGGCCCAGGTGGACGATTCGTCGGTCAGGTGGGGGCTCAGGCGCAGCGGCTGGGCAGCGACCAATGCTGGCAGGTTGCCTTTGGGAGGCCGCCGTGCTGGCCAGCCGCCGCCGGCTTCTCAGGAGCTGCCTCCAGGGCCTCCCTCGTTGCCGCGGCGCGCCCCCCCTACCCTCTGCCTGTCCCGTGGGCCTGCCACCCATGTCGCGCCCGCTGCTCGCCCTCCCACACCCGCCTGCAGGCTGCCGGAGCTGTCGGCGGAGGAGAAGAGCAGGGTGCTGAACCCTGAGTCGCCCGTGTGGGCGCGGCCAGAGGGCCTCCGCGCCGGCAGCTGGACGGGCGTGCGGTGAGGCTCGTGCCACGGGCTGCTGGCAGGGGCCGCCTGCCATTTTTAGCTGGCACGCCTCCCTCTGGCGGGCGCTGCGCCCGTCCCTGTGCCTGCCTGCCTGCCGGTCAGATGGCTTCACGATTAGGTGCATCTGCCTGCTGTTGCACCCGCTGATGTCATGCGCCTGGCTGGCCCTGCAGGGAGGAGAGCGGGCGCCTGGCCGACGGTCGCCACTTCAAGCGCTTCTGGATGCTGGGCCCTGGGGGCGCCGACAAGCTGGTGGTGAGCGGGCCCCCTGCTGCTGCTGTCTGAGCAGCAAGGGCTCCTCCAGCAAAGGGCTCCTCCCTCTGCCCTTGCTCTCTGCCGCCTGGCCCGGCTCCCAACGCCGCGCCCGTCCACCTCCCCCACCCTCCTCCCCTCCACCTCCGCCGCCGCCGCTGCCTCACATCTTGCCACCCTACCCCTGCACTGGCCCCCCTGACCCGGCCCCTGCCTCTCACCTGCCTCTCCTGCCCCTGCCGCAGGTCACGGGCGTCGACTCCAGCCGCAAGGACCGGCGCTACAAGTACTTTGCTGAGGAGGAGATGGGCGGCTTTGCCTTTGAGAACGCGCGAGAGGTCATGGCCTGGGTGAACTATGCCCTGTGCCGCCCCGCAGACGGTGAGACTCTGCCCCTCCCCATGCTGGCGGCTGCGCCCCGTGTGCCAGCCGGCTCCGGCGCCGGGCCTGCTGGCGCTGCATTGGGTCGGCGCCAGGCGGGCGGGCTGCTCTGGGCTGCGGCTCTGTAGCTGCGGAAGGCTCCCCGGCAGCTTCACGCCACGGCTGCACATGCATCGACAGAGGCTGAGGGTCGTGCAGGTCCTGACACATGCCCCCCCGGCTCTTGCCTCCCTCCCCTTGCCTGCCTGCAGCGCCGCTGGAGCCGGAGCAGGTGCGGTGCCCGCAGGCGCTGAGGGAGGAGGACCTAGGCAGCCTGGCCGCCCGCATCCGGGCCGCGGCGCAGCAGGAGCGGACGCCGCTGATGGCGCCTGCGGCACCCCGGGCGAGCCCCGCCAGCAAGCAGCACGCGGGGAACTCGGCGGCGGCACCAGCCTCGCCAGCCGGCAGCCCTTACACCTCCTCCCTGTCGGGCAAGGTGCGCCCCGCGCCGCAGAGCCACCCGGCGCCGGCCGGCAGCAGCGATGCGGGCGACTCGCCGCCGCCCTCGCCGCTGGCGCGGCCCCCCGCGGCGGGCGCCTCGGCGCAGCCGGCCCCGGCTCCAGCGGCGGCGGGAGGCGTGCGGCCGCCCCTGCCGCGCATCGCCACCCAGTCCCGCCTGGTGGGCCTGCGCTGCGCCACCTGCGGGCTCACCTGCCACACCAGCGACGAATGCCTGCTGGCAGTCATCTCTCCGCCCAGCCTGCTCATCCGCACCGACGGCGGCGGCGGCGGCGGCAGCGGCCACCACCGCACCTTCTCCCTCCTCCTCACTCACCCCGCCCCGGGCTCCGCCACCGCCGGCGGCAGCGGCGGCGGCAGCGGCCACGAGGGGGAGGAGGAGGCGTGGCAGCCGCTGCCCTCGCCGCAGCTTCTGAGCGGGGGCTGCCCTCATTGCATACATAGTGCGCCTTTCCCTGCTTTTCTAGTGACCTAGCGTTCCGCACTGCCGTTTGGCCAGCCCATGCTCCCGTACCGTTGCGTTTCTCCCCAATGCGCCATGCCACTTTGCCAGTCATACACACGTTTCGATGCGTGCCCTGTCAGCTGCTTGCGTTGCATGTCGCCTTGCTCCACCCCTGTTTTATTGCTTTCTCTGCTTTCGCCCGGTTCCCGTCCCGTTTCGGCGGGGAGTCTATGTTGCAAGCTAGTTCTTGCTTTACCAGACTTTAAGCCCACACAAGCAAGTGGAGCAGCTGCGGGCGGCGCTGCATGCAGAGGCTGCCAGCTTGGAGGCCGAGTCGGCGGCAGGCAGCAGGCCCGTCACGCCAGGCCTGCAGGTCTGCTGGCGCACGGCAGCAGTGCATGGAGACGCGGCCAGGCTTGCTTGCCGGCAGTCGCCCGCCTGTGTGATGCCTGGTTCCACCGCTCTCTCCGCCATGTGCCTTACCGTGATGCCTCCCCCGCTCCCTGCCCCAATTTGGGGTGCAGCAAGCCTTTGCCGCCGACCCCGACCTCTTCCGCTTCGTGGCGAGCGCCCCGAGCGACAGCGCCCGCGACGCCTTTGCGCGTTGGGCAGCCAAGCTGAACAGCCACATCTCAGACAGCCCTCCCCCGCTGCCCACCTCAGGTGCTGGCACCTACGCGGCCCCCGCCGAGGCTCCCTGCCCTGCCGCCGAGGCCCCGCTGCTCCCTGTGCCTTCTCAGGCCCTGCGCCGGCCTCCCTGTGCTGCTCCTGCCGCTGCCGAGGCTGCCCTGCTCCTGCCGAGGCTGGCTCTTCACCTCTGCTGCCCGCCCTGCGGTGCAGAGCTGGACACGCCGCTGGGCGGGTGGAGCTGGACGCCCACGGTGGAGGCGCTGGCCATCCTGCGGGAGCTGTCCACAGCGCAGGTAACCCGTGCCGCCTAAACTGCACCTTTAAGGGCGCGACTGCCAGCGCAGCTGCGCTGGCAAGCCCGGCACGGGTTTGGGAGGTCTGCCGTCGCAGCTTGCTGGCCCTCCTCGCCATGCTGCCGCGCCGTGGCAGGCGACTCTGCTGCTGACACACATACACACACACACAGCCTGCCTGCCTGCCCACCCTCCTGCCCTCCCCTGCAGGTCAGCCTCAACCTGCTGCAGAAGACTGGCATCGCAGGCGCCGTGGCCCAGCTGCGCAACCACCGCGACCACCTGGTGGCGTCGGCGGCCGAAGGCATCGTGGCCAAGTGGCGTGCGGCGGCGGTGTCTGCCCTGGACCAAGCCACTCGCGCTTAAGCCCGGCTGGGCGCTTGCGAGGCGCCTGCAGTTCCCTCCCAGCTGGAAGCCGCCGCGGCCGTTGCGTGGCCGGCAGGCGTGGCGCCGCCGCTGGGCCCACCATCACCATTTGAACTCAGGGAGCTCGATCCTCGTGACCGCTTCTTCATACTGTGCATTCTTTACTATTTGCGTCCACAATCACACCATCCAGGGCATGCGCGCATGCATGCTTGAATTGAATTGAATTGAGCTGTAGGGGAATGGCATTTAGCTAGATGAGCTGATGCGCAAGGCTGAGAGGGGCAGTGCACATGCGATCGTCTGAAAGCAGGCGGGGCGCGCGTTGTGCTGCCTCAGCACAAGAGCGGGCCAGCACAGCAGCGCGCAGCGCGGGGAGCCCAGCGGGCACCAGCAGCCAGTCTGCGGGCGTCAGCGAAAGGCGGGACACCACATCCACCCCCAGCACCTCTTCATCCTCCCGCGGCACCTGTCCCACGGCCAGCAGGGAGTGAGCGGTGCGGAAGTGCCGTGCCGCGACTGCGCCGCTAGCGGGCATGTGGCGCTGCCACTGGCTCTGGCAGAGCCCGCCGCCAATGTCAGCTCACTGCGGCCAGGCAGGCGTGCCAGTGCTGCCACCCTGAATCTGCCTGCCCAATGGCGTGTTCACAGTGGGGACAGGTTGGAAAGAAGGGAATGCCAAGCATGCAAAAAGGTTGTGGGCTGAGCAGAGCACCAAATTGAGCAAGAAGTGCCGAGGGAATGGCAGACCAAGGTGGGGGTTCTGGGGCAGGCCGCGCACCGCCGCTACCCCTGAGTGACTCAGTCTGCTTTGAACTGGGTGCTTACGAGTCCAATCGCTCAGCAGCAGCAAGGCTGCTGGTCCAAGGCTGCCTCGCCGCCCGGCCGCTCGCCCGCCCGCCACGCAGTGGCCTCAACAGGCGGCAGCGGCGCGGTGCAGACCACGCGCTTGGCGGGGCGCGAGGGCGAAAGCATCCAGGTGGCCGCCGCCCCCGGAGAGTATGCTGTGGACCGCTCCTACAACCCAGGTCCCGGCATGGCAGAGGAGGAGCACGCCAGCGGCAGGCAGCAGGTGGGGGAGCTCCCCGGAGGCGGCCGCTACGCTGCAGCAGGTGGGCGAGCTGCGGGCGGCGCTGGGCGGCAGCCGAGCCTGTTGAGCGCAATGCTTCGTGGTGAAGCCAGCTACAGCCATTAGTGCATGCACTGAGGTTTATACGGAGATGGCAGAGCTGCCTGTGCTGTGCTGCTGCCTCTCCCTGCAGAGCAGCAGCATGTGACCAGCCGTGTGGTGGAGGCCATGGCGCCGGCCGTAGCCGGAGCTGTGAGCGGCCTGGAGAAGGGCGATCTGAGTGGGGGCTGATCAGCGTGGCACACGGCTGACGTGGGAAGACACGGTGATGGACGTGACAGGAGGTCAGTCGGCCGCAGCTCTCTGCAGACAGCTTTGGTGAAGGAGGGCGCTGCAGGCGACTGCAGTCTGCTGCATCACCTTGTACAGCGAAGCGCAGTTCCTGCACTGCCAATGCCTCATTCATTTACAATACAGCGGCGCTGATGCACATGTCAATCTGGAAGAAACAGACGGTGCCAGGGGCTCACTGATACAAGCAATGGACAGGGCTGCTCGGCGCTCAGCCTCTCACTCGCCGCCGCCGGAGACGAGCGAGGCGGTGAGGGGCCCCGCCACCGCGGCGACTGCCGACGCCGCCACCGCGGCGCGCGGAAGCGTGGCGCCCAGCACGCCTCCCATCTGGTAGGCGGGAGGGGCGGTGAGGGTGATGGCCACGCTGAGCTGCGGCAGCAGCTTCTTGAGCCTCTTGGAGTAGGGCTGGATGACGCGGATGGCCAGCCCAGGCTGCTCGATCGCAAACACCCGATTGGTGCGAGCCTGCAGGGGTAGAGCGCAGCAAGCCTGTCGATCACAGCAGCACAACACAGCACAGCGCATGCGCAGCAGGCAGCCGCAGTCTTGGTCTCGTTTTGCAAGCTGCAGTTTCCGCCTACCTTGTTCGTGGCGGCGCGCACAGCCGCGCCCCGGATCGTTTGCCGTCCGCCCGCCCGCAGAGCCTTGCCATTGACCATCACTGCACGGGGAGCAAGGCGTGTGGCGAGGCATGCATGTGAGCCTGCGCTCCGCCAGGGGCTGTGCTGCATCCCGCCCCAGCTTAGGCAACGGTGCACATGTGGCAGTGTAGGTGTGGCGAGGTGTGGCCTGCCACTCACCCACGGCGCTGCCTTTCGAAATGGCCACCCGTACAGCGGTACCAGGACCCCGCAGGACCACTTGGCCCAGGACCACGCTCCCCTGCAACAAAAGGCATGCCAAGCATGGGGTGAGTGGTTTGCGGCAGCCGCCACTCCCTCTGCTTGGCAGCTCCAACCCACGCGCTTTGCTGCGCCCCGCCTGCTGCCCCGACCTTGGTGCTGCCGCTGCGCAGCGTGGCGGTCAGGCTCCACTTGGGATAGGTCAGGATCTGCAGGAGGGCGAGGAAGGCAGGAAAGGGGTCAGCACAGCGTGACGCAACGGCACCGCTGTGAAGGGAACATGCAGGCGCCGCTCTATCCTGCACCGCCCTGCACACGGGGTGGTTGGCAGCGCCCACCTTGAGCGTGGTGCCAGCCCGCTGCTTGATCTGGGTTGCCTTGCCAGTGAAGCCCACCGCTGTGGTCGCATCCACTGCACAGCACAGCCGGCGCAGCAGCTTTGGAGTGGCGGCGGAAACGTGGCTAGACTTCTGCTGGCCTGCTGTCCCTGCCACGCACAGTGGGCGTGCTTGCTGCGGCCTGCTGGCCGTCCTGCCTCACCTGATGCCACGAGGCGCCTGCCTGGCTTGGTGGGCGAGCTGGCTGGGGTGCCTGGCAGCTGCTTCAGGGTGGCGGCCACCCAATCCATAATGTCAGCCACATCTGTAAAGGCGCCTGCAGCAGCAAGCAAGACGGCTCGGTCGGTCAGCCGCTAATCAAGGCGAGCAGGCCGGCAGTGTGTGATTGTGAACAAGACGGGCTCCAATTGCTTGGATGTGGTGCCCCCTGCAGCGTCCGCCGAGTAACCTCGCGCCTCACGAAGGCTGGCAGCCCAAACCTGCTGCCGCCACCACCCTCTGCAGCAAACCCCGCCACCCAACCGGCCGTCCAACCGCACACCCACCCCAGCCAACTCACTGGGCTTGCGCGCCACAGTGCCGCACTTGGCGGAGGCGAAGGAGGCGATGCCGACCAGCAGGTCCTGGCTGCCGCCCGCAGACACGCCCCCGCTGCCTTTGGCCACCAGCGGGGACCCCGAGTCGCCGCCGCAGATGCCGCTGAACGTGTTCGGGTAGTCGCCTGCGCATGGCAAGTGGGGGAGTGGGAGGGACACCGGCCTGAGGGAGAGGCGATGGCGACTTGAGTGGGCGGCTAGGACAGAGCCCTTCCCTGCAGTGCGAATGCAGGAGGGGGGTTCCCCAGCCCCAACGGCCACCCCCCGTAGTGCGGCTTGAAATGCAGCGAGAAGCGCGGCGAGCAAGCCACGCAAGCGGGCCGATTGGCTCTGTTCACTCACGGGCCGCACACACGAGGCTGTTGTTGGCAAAGTCGTACTCCACCCGCCGCCTGACGCCGCCCTCCATCACAAAGCTCACCGACCCCAGGTCCGCCTGGCATGTGGCCAGCGGGACGAGGCTCATGGCCAGCTGCAGAGCGGCGGGCGCAAGGCGGCGGCGGTGGTGGGGATTGCGCGGCCCACAGGTTTCTGTGCAGAGGACAGCAAGCAGCGAGTCAGCAGGGCAGCGACAGCTGCGGGCAGCCCGCGCCAGCTGCTGCCTGCCAGGCCTGCCTGCTGAAGGGCCTCCGAGTCCTCTTCCTCCGCATCGAGCCAGCCCCAGCCCATGGCAGTCACGGGTGACCAGTCACGGAGCGGGTTACTGCCCGACTTGGCTGCAGCACAGCGCAGGCGCAGCAGCAGGGTCGGGGCCTTCCGGCTGCGCACAGCCGGGCGCACAGCAATCCCTGCCCGCCCACCCGCCTGCCCTGTCCAGCCAGTCAGACGCGCCCTCACCTTTGTACTGCGGCAGGCGGAGCACCGGCATGCTGCTGGGCTGCTCCAGGATCAGGATGGCGGCATCGTGCGTCATGAAGTCGAGGGTGAGGTCTCCGGTGAAGCCCGTCTTGAAGCGGGGGTGCACCAGTGTCTTCTTGGTCAGCCGCTCCTCATATTCGGCGGGCCCATCCAACGACTTGCGGTAGCCCCCCAGCCGCACCTGCAGCAGGAGGGCATGCACCGCAGGCGGGCAGGATGCAGGCAGCCTCAGTACGCGTTGTGAGACAGGCTATCGTAGAACAGTCAGCAGTCGGCGGGTGGCGCTAGCGCGGCGGTTGTGGCAAGCCAAGCGGACCGAGCGCACCAGCGGGCGGTGCAAGTCGTCATCATAGTCTTCTCCCGTGAAGTGGTTGCGCACGCAGTGCCTGCAAATCGCGGCAGGGTGGTGAGGAGGCGAGGAGGACTTAGCCCGCATGGTGGCGAGCGGCCGGCGGCAGCTGCCAGATGCGCACCCCCAGCGGGTAGCTCACCCGGCGGTCAGCACGGCAGAGGGGTGGATAAGCACTCCTGTAGCGGGCAGACAGGTGGGTGTGCTCAGTTGATGCTAGCGGGCACCCCGCATCCATGCCCAGCAGGCAGCATCGCAAGCCGGGGAAGGACCCCCCGCCAGGTACCTCCGCAGAAGTGCATCCATCCATCAAAGCTGCTGCGCAGGGAGGCGATGTAACGATACCGCCCCTTGGGCGCGTCCGTCCCATTGACGATCGCCTGACGCACCACGTCGTCTTTGAGCAGCCCCCTGCAGCAAGGGGCTACCCGCCGCCACCGCTGGTGGGTGCCGGTGTGGGCGGATGCTGAACGCGAGGCGGCATCGCCTGGCAATGGCCGCACCTTGTCGTGGGTGTCGCCGAGCATCCAGTGGAGGATAGCAAGAGCAGGATGGCCCACACTGCAGCGGGCATCTGGATGCCGGGCCAAGCGCTATCTCCTGCCTCAGCCCAAGCCGAGGTTAGATGCGATGAGATGGGCAATAACTTGCTGGTTCTACACTACAGCGCCGCGCTCGACTGCCTGCAATCTCTGGATGCCGAGCTGATCGGCCTGTCCCCCCAGTCTACCTAGACTACCTGATCCTACACACACTACGGCATTCGCTATGATGCATCTTGGGGAGCCAAGGCCTCACGACCGAGAATCTGCATGAACACCGCTGGCGCCATCGGGCGCCGCCGCGCGCGCGACCGAAACTGCAGCCCCCGAGCTGGACCTACTGTTACATGTGGCCTGCAACTCAAATGTACGTACATCGAGAGATGTACATACATCAAGGTGGTGCTGCGAGGTGATCAAGGGGCTGCCTGAGAAAAGAGAAGGACTGGGGTAGAGGCATGGGTAGAAAAGTGAGATGGGAGCAGTAGGGTCAACCTGACAAGGAGACCCCCCCCTCCGCTGCTGCTGCTGCTGCCAATGGGCTGCAACGCCACCGCTCATGGCCACAATCGGAAAGGCGAGCAGCGGATGCAGCCACTCCAGGGCTGGGCCTGCGGCGCACGGGCTCCTGGCGCTCGCGCCGCGGCGCGCTCATCGGCAGCCGGCGTCGCCGCGCGGCTGCCCACACATGTCACACTTGGGGCCGCCCATATCCTCATTTGCATACGTGCAGTGCCTGCAGCAGGGCATGATGGGAGAAACGGCTGGGTTGGCGGGCAGGAGCGGCAGCGCGCGCAGCATTGGGGGCCCGTTGCGCCGCAGCCTGCAGACTGACGGCTGGCGGTTGAGCTGGAAAGCATCGTCGGCCACACGCAGCCCCCATGCAAGCGGCTCCCAGGGCTGCGACAGACCTGCACTGCCAGAATCCGGCCTCCTCCTCGAGCACCATCTGCTCCACATCAGCCACGCCGCCCTGCCGCCGCTTGCTGGAGCGCGTGATGCGCCGGCTGCTGGCGGCGGGCGCCTTGCCCTTGGCGGCCGCCGCCTCTGCCGCCGCCGCCTGCGCCGCCGCCGCCTCCGCCGCCGCGACGCTGGTCCCCGCCTCGTCTATGGCAACTGTAGGGCAGGCAGGGCAGGCAGGCAGGCAGGGTTGACATGGAGGAAGACGCAGGCAGGCAGCAGAAGGGGCCCACCAGCGGAGCAAACGGACGGAGCCACAGCCCTACTACCAGCCCCCGACCACCACCACCACCATCACTATCACCACCAACACCCTGTACAGCCCCCTGTCATGCACCATGTACTGGCCCCCAGGTCAGGACCGCCTGCTCACCGTCGTACACCTTGAGCGCCTCATCCAGCCCCTTTTCAAACTCATTGACGAGCTTCTCAAAGTGGCTGCGCGTCACGTCCGTCAGGCCAATCAGCTGCTCCCTGCGGGCGGCAACAAACAGTGGCCCAGCGGGGCGAGAGGCATTCAGTCAGTGGGGGCGGAGGTGGGGGTGGTCAGGATGGGAGGCATGGGAGGATGGCAACGCATGTGCGAGCCAGGAGGGTCGCTGCAGCAGGCAGGCATGCGTCCTGCTGCTGCTCCTCCAGCCCAGCCACACCTGAAGGCGTTCCACGTGGCGTGCTCCTTGCTGCTGCCGGCGCCTGCGGCGCTGCTGCCTGCGCCGTCGCCTGCGGCAGCGCCGCTGCCGCCGGCCTCCTCCTCTGCGGCCGTCTTGCTGTGCCGCAGGAACTTAGCCAAGTCCTTCTCCACCTTGTGGTGCAGCTTCTCTAGGTAGTGCTCCGCCTGGCCCTGCAAGGGGACGCCACACGCCACCAGGGAGCGGTGGTTAGAGGAAGCCACCATGCAAGCAGGCGGGCGGTTAGGGAGGGCGGCAGGGCAGCCCGCAATGCAAAAACTCACACACACACACACACACACACTTCACCACACACGCCCACCCACCTGGTTGAACTCGAAGAACTCCTGGTGCTGCGCCATGCGCTCCTTGGCTTCCTTGCTGGCGCCGGCGGGCTCCTCGAACGTGTAGAAGGCGGTGGCGTAGGTCCACTTGAGGATGCGGCGGCAGTGCACCACCTGCGGCGTGGGTCGGCGGGGCGCGGGCTGGTTGGTGTAGGTGGCAGGGTGTGTGTGGTGTGTGCAGTACGGTGTGCAGGTTTGTGTGGCTGGGGGGGGGAGGTGAGGCAGGCTGAAGGACAATGGAGAAGGGAGCTGCGCAAGATAGGAGTGCAAAACGCAAGCAAAAGCTCCAGTGCGGTACGGGTGAGGTACGGGGGCAGCCACGCGCCTGCATCCAAGCATCCACGATGAACTTGAGCTGGCTGGTGGGCGTGGCGGTGCGCTCGCTCAGCACCTCCTGCTGCTCGTTCTTGAACCTGTCCACCTGCTGCAGAGCCTGCGGGGTCAAGGGAGGGCCCGGGGCAAGGCAGGGGCCGAGTTGGACGGTCAGAGAAGGTCGGTAGGCACTCGAGAGAGGCGGTGACAAGCAGTACACACAACCACGGCACAGCACACCCGGCCGCCGTGGTGCCGGCCGCACACATCACCCAGCCCTTTGCAGTACCAGTACTGCCTCTTTGCTGCACCTTCTTGCGGGACGAGTCGTTCTCCGCCCAGCGCTGCCAGTAGTGCATGTACCGCTCCAAGGACTGCCGCGCGTGCTGCCGCTTCTGCTCCTGCTCGTCAATCTCGCCCTTCTCCACCGCCTTCTTGAACCTGCGGGGAGGCAAGGGTGCGACACCTGGGCGGATGGCATGGATGTGCGTGATCGGTGGCGGCAAAGGTGGTGATGTGTGTTGAGGGGTGGGTGTTGGGAGGGATGGGGAAGAAGCCGGTGGAGGGGTCCTGGCCACCAGACGGCAACGGCGGTAGCGGCGATGCCGTCTGCTCCGCTGCAGCTGCGGACGATGCCGCATGCTCCGCTGCAGCTGCGCTGCGAGCCACAGCCCGCACCTATTGCAGTTGTAGAAGCCGCCGGTGCGCTCGCCGTGCTCCGCCCAGGGCCCGTGGCACAGCCAGCAGAACTCGTGGCGGCACTGGCTGCACGTCATGTGCATGCACCCCTGGTTCTTCTCAATCGGGCGCCTGCAGGCGCATGGAAGGGAGGACACAGCGTGTTGGGGCAGGGCGGAGTGCGGCGCAAACTCCAATAGCCAGCGGAGGGATAGCGGCACACAGGCGTGCCTGGATGCCACAGCCCAACTGCCGCGGCAGCGGGAGCGTGCAACGAAAGGCAGGGGGGCGGTTGCCAGGCCACTCACGTGCACTTGGGGCAGGGCTTGGTGTTTGCCAGGATCCAGTTGAGGTTCTCGCTCTCCGCGCTGTTCTTGATCTGTGGAGGTTGGTTGGAAGCAGGTATCCACGCAGGCGCACAGCCGGGGTCAGCTCAATGCCAGCCAGCACACAGGTGCCAGCCCCTGCACACCCATCTGCCAGCAGCCCAGCCCAGCCGCCGCCCACAACCCACCATCCACTTGCGTACGGTCTCGCAGTCCACAGGGCGGTGGGCCTCCTCCTTGCAGTTGAAGCAGAATGCGTTGCCGCATCGGCAGAAGATGTCCTGCGCCACGCCCAGCTGGTCCGACAGCGACAGCACCGCGTTCTGGCAGTCTGCGGGCAGCAGGGACAGGCACGTGCGTCAGTGTGTGATGAGTCGCATGCCAAGGTGTGAGCAGCAGCAAACAAAAACAGGGAGCAGGGGGAGGGGGCGACAGCGCAGCACAGCCTGGCTCCATCACGCAAGCAGCCACGTGCAGCGCGGCGGGCTGCCGGTGTGGGCGCCACGTCGGCAGGCGCGCTGACCTGGCGCGGGGCACCACACGATCTGCCGCTGGTCGTCCACAAAGCTGTTCACCGCAAACTCCTCGTACCGAGCACGGTGGCTCTGATCTACCACAGCATTGATCACGCGGCGTGGTACCGCCGCCTTGCACTCTGCAGAGCAGGGCAGGCGGCGCGAGGTGGGTGGGCAGCGGGCTACCCACGGCAACAGCCTGGACAGCCACAAGGGGGCAAAGGGCAGCGCAGCGGCGGGCGGCAGATGCCATCACGAGCCGGACCCCTGCCGGTGGTTGTTCCTACAGGCAGGAGGATCGGCGCTGCCGCGCACCTGGGTCGGGGCAGCGCAGGTCGAGGCAGGAGGGGCCAGAGGAGATGGATGTGTGGATGTAGCCGCGCCAGCAGTCCTGCAGAGGCAGGGAGCGGCGCAGCGGAAAGCGTGGCGGCAGCATGAGCCGACAGCCCATGCATCTCCACTGCTGCAGGCCCTCTGCAGCCTCCGCATCAGTTCCCTGGCTTCTTCCAGGGCTGGCCAGCCGGCCACGCTGCCTCGGCTGGCTATCCTGCACCCTGCTATGGCTGGCTGTCCTCCCTCCTGCCCACTCCAGAAGCGAAGCTGCCCCGCGCTCGCCTTGCAGAAGTAGTGCTTGCAGCGGGCGGAGGCCATGTCTTGCACCGGGAAGGTCTCAAAGCAGATCTTGCAAGTCTCCTGCAGCAGGCCCAGACGCAGAGAGTGATGAAGGATGGTGGGTTGACGGGGTGGTCAGCAGAGCAGCCGTGAGGTGGCGGTCGAGGGTGGCAGACGTGGCGCGCTGCTGGCTTGGGGGCTGCAGTCTCGGTCCACCCACCTCCTTTCTGCTGGTGGAGGGCTGCTCGTCCAGCAGGCCGACCTTTCCCCGCACCCCATCCGGGTCTGTGAACCACTCCTCCTGCAGAGAACGAGGGCACAGCGACACGTTGCTCGACATTAGCCGCAGCACATGCGCAGCAAGCCAGCGAGATGAAGGCAGCAGCATTGCGGGGCAGCGCATGCATGACAGAAGCTGCTCAAAAGGCCGTCCTCCCGCTGCCGGCTGCTCGTTCACTCCAGCCACAGATCGCATCAGCGCATGCAGCCTGCAAATCACAACACTGCTCCACGCCCAGGGCCCCCAGGCAGCACCACCTCGCCGGTCATCCCAGCTTTTCAACCGCCTCAAACCCCAATCGCCCACCGCACCAACCTGCAGCTTGGAGAGGTCCCACTTGTAGAATCGCAGCGCCCGCGTGGCCTCAGCGTCGCTGATGCACAGCAGGTCGACCACCTGCTCCACGGCAACGCCCAGCCGCCCCCGCAGCTCCTCTTTGTCGAGCACGACGAACGCCTTCTGCGGGAGGGGTTGAAGAGAGAGCAAGTGGTGCACAGGATCAGACCATTGAGCGCAGGCGGGCGTGTGGAAACGAGAGTAGAGAGTGCCTGCGCCTCCGAAGGAAACTGGCGGAGCACAGGCAGCCGACAGTCCGCCCGCCAGGGCTGCCCGCTGGCGGCGGCACCGGCGAGGGCGGCCTCCGGTGGGGAGTCTCGGCCGCGTCATGCCGGGTGATCGGCGCCTTGGCTGAGCCCGGGCTGTACCTTTGCGCCCTTGGCCAACGGCGAGGCTGCCTCGGCCTCGTCCTCGCTGTAAGCGTAGTCCTCCCCGCCGCTGGAGTAGTCGGCGCCGCCCTCCTCGCTCATGGGCTGTCCTTCCCAGTCGGAGTCGCCATAATCGTCACTCATTGCGTTCAAGCCGGTCCCAAACACGGCGAGGCGCACTCGGACTTGTCACAGAAGGGGATGGAGGCGTGCAGGCTGCGGTGAGAGCTCCTGGATAGCTGGTGCGAAACGCAGGGGGGGCGCAGGGCTCGATATTCGACAACCCCGCTGGCCACTGCTGTGCATGTGCAACACATGACGCGTTGCTGGAAGAGGCTGCGCTGGTTGGAGCCATTGTGGGCTGCTGCTTGCTTGCAGGCGGCCCCAGGCTTGCGGCGGGCCCAGGCGCCTGCCAGTCTCCCCTTCTGCCCAACGTGTGTGCGGACGCTGTGCTCACACCGCTCCCCTGTCCTCCCCGCCCCGTTCCCGGCCGCCCCGCCCTTCCCGCAGGCACCCTGCAGGGCGGCAAGTGCGCTTACCACGCAAAGGGAGTCACTACCATCACCCCCGGACCCTTCTATTGCGCATGCACTGACCCGCTGCTGTGGTACGAAACCGAGCTGTGGTACGAAACCGAGCTGTGCGCCACCAACAACGCCTTGTCGGGCGCCAAGGACCCAGCCGTGTGCCGCGTGCGCAAGCCAGGGACCAACGCCTTCCGCCTGGGGCACTACAGGTGCGGGGGCGCCGTGGTGCGAGGCAGGGCAGCGCACCGCAGCGCAGGGCAGGCTGGGCTGGCCGCCGCGCGGCAGGCAGCAAGCCGGCAGCCAGGGCCCGGCACGCTTGGCAACTCGGCAGCTGACCAGCTGAATGCTTGAGCAGCCTGGCTGGCGCCCAGCCCAGATGCCGCCCAGCTTGCCGGCGCACGTATCCACCTGCCTGCCTAGCCGTGTTGAGGCGGCCTCAACGCCCTCCTGCCCTCCTGCCCCTGCAGCGTGGCTGCCCACACCTGCACCATACCCACCTGGCAGGTCAACACCACCACCAAGCTGTCGGTGGTGAAGGGCGGTCCGGGCGGGCTTTACGACCTTCACCTGCTGTGCCAGACACGTGAGCGCTGCTTTGCCTTGCTTTGCTTTCGCTGTTCATAAACCTGCATATCCGTTCAAGAACTTGCGGCACAGACCCCGGCTGCGCTCTGGGCGCGGCCTGGCTGGCTGTGCCGCTGCCCTGCTTGGTGCAGCAGATTGCAGCAAGCAAGGGTGGGGAAGTCTCGCCCCGTGGCAGCCCAGCCGGCGCCCCCCACCTGGCCGCTGTTCCGCCGCTCACCTCGCCTCACCGCTGCCGTTTCCACCACCGCTGCCGCAGCCCCCGACAGGCGCAAGTGCTTCAGCATGGGGGCTGACCGCGGGTACTTGGCGGCGGCGGCCAAGGAAGTGGTGGCCTTGGTGGCCGGGGTGCCTGCCGGGCAGGGCATCCAGTACAGCGACACGTATCCCCTGCGCTGGCAGCCCGTCCTCGACTCCATCTGCCGGCCCACCTACCCCACCTCCGCCACCGACGCCACCATTGTCAGTTGGATCTACTGGGGTGCCTTTGGGAAGGCCGCGGACCGCCTCAACGGCAACAGCTGGACCGACTCGACGCTGGCCTCGCTGCGCGGCCGCGGCATTGTGAGGTCCGCCACGACGTGGAAGAAGGAGGTTGGGCTGCTCGGGCCCTGGGTGCCCGACCAGCTGCTGGACCTCAACGCCGCCAAGCTCGGAGGTGGGTGCCGGCGCTTCCGCGGCCGGCTGCCCGGGCGAGGGCGCCGCCAGCAGGAGGAACAGCATTGGGGTGCAGCGTCAGAGGAGCAGCTAAGGGGGAACAGGGCCCGCGCAGCCACCGCTCCTGCCATGCGCCTCGCACCCTCTCCACTCATCCCAGCTCCTGACCCTCCTCCCCAAGTGCAGACCTGGTCTTCTATGCCCCTTACAAGTCCAAGGTCATCCAACACGTCACCATGTTTGTGGGGAACAAGCAGGTGATGAGCTTTGGCGGCAACCAGCCCGGGTCCGGCGTCGGCAGGCCGGTGCTGCGCCCTGTGGGCGGCAACTGGACGGTTACGGGCGGCATCGACGTGATGATCCCCGCCGAAATCCGCTCCTACCCAGATTTCCTCATCTGAACGTGACGCACTCGAATGCTCTCTACTACATATCAGAACCTCCACACCGCACTGCAGTTTGGCGCCTCGACCACACTGTCCCTGCTTACCGACAACAACTCTTTTTTTCTCCCATGTTTCCCTGTCCAGACCACCACATTTGCTGCACTACCTACTACTGCTCTTATTTAAATCCAGCCTGAGTCGATAGCAGCCAACGAAGGCGAACGACGCGTCTCCGGCGCCTCCACGTCAGCGCCGGGTTTGCTAGCGGACCCCGACACCTGAAGCACCAGATCATGCGTTCCGGGACGCATCGCTCTACGTTGACACGCAGAGAAGCGGCACTGGGCCTCGCTGCCTGCTCGGCCGCTTTCGGCACGCGGCCCTCTCGCTCCCTGCACCACCCCAGCAGCTCTCCCATGGCGCAGGCGGGCGCACAGATGCAATCGGAGAAGCCTCTGGGCACAGTGAGGCTGCTGTTGACAGGCGACGTCATGCTCGGCGAGTCGGCGGCTTCAGTCGCTACAGCCACCCCGACGGGGCCGCACATCACACCCTCCATCCCTCTGCTGCGTGCTCTGCTCGTGCCTGCTCCCCTCTGCTGCGGTCCTCTTCAACCCGCAACCACCTTGCCGGCCCCCACCTATGCACCGCCGAGTCACTTGCCCGCCCTCAGCTGGAGCACGTGCCGCCCCGCCCCACCCTGCTGCTGCTCCAGGCAGAGGCATCGACCAGGTGCTGCCCCACCAATGCGCCCCAGTCCTGTACGAGTCATGCGTGCGGGACGCCCGCACATATGTCAAGGTGGGCGGCAGGGGCCGCTGAGGCCCGTGTGGGAGGCGGGGAGGCACGGCTGGCGGCACTGCTCACTGGCTGGCAGCGCACTGCTTGCAACGATTGCTGGCAGCAATCCGGCTCGGCATGTGAGCTGGCCTGGCAGCGGGGGCTTCCAGACTACCTCAAGCATCTGTCTGGCGCTGCACCCTCCACGGCCACGCTTCACGCACTGCGCCCCTCACTCTGCCAAGCTGCCTGCCTGCCTGCCTGCCTTGCAGCTGGCCGAGGCTGCCAACGGGCCCCTGCCCCGCCAGCGCGGCTTCGACTACCCCTGGGGGGTGGCACTGCGGGACATGCAGGTGGGTGGGTGCTGGCAGCAGGCAGGGCTTCGCTGGGCGGCAGCAGTCATACGGCACTGCTAGCTGCGAGTCGCCTGCCGTGCTGGGCGGCCACGCCAGCGATGCAGCAGCAGCAGGCGTGCTGCCACCTGTGCGTCTGTTGCATCCACCACGCTCACACACTCACACACACGCGTCCACTCCTCCCCGTGTGCCGTACCGGAACCGCAGGCCAAGGCGCCGGACGCCCGCATCATCAACCTAGAGACGGCGGTGACCACCAGCCCCCAGGCCTGGCCAGACAAGGGCATCAACTACCGCATGCACCCCGGTCGGCGCCACAGCCGGGGCTGCCATTGGCAGCAGTGCTGGCAGCAGTGCTGGGCGGGTCACTCTGACCAGGGCGCAGGCTCCACGCAGGATGGCCCTCCTGCTGTCGCCTGCCGCTGAGCGCCGCCGCGGCTGTGCAGCACAGCAGCGCTGTCCGCCCGCTCCGCCTGACCCGTGTGCTTGCCCGCGCCGCCATGCAGGCAACGTGCCGGCGCTGACGGCGGCCGGCATCCACGTGTGCTGCCTGGCCAACAACCACACGCTTGACTGGGGGGTGGAGGGGCTGCTGGAGACGCTCAGCGTGCTGCGCGGCGCAGGTCGGGGATGGTGTCGGGTCGGGGCGGCCTGCGCCTCCCACGCCGTGGGAGCTTGCACCACCGGATGGCGTGCACACACCTACCCTCCGAGGGATTGGACTGGAAATTGATTTTCTAGGGCACCTGCTGCGTGCCGACAGTGCTCGGCACATGAAGGATGTGGTGAGACCAGCCTGCCCCCACCTCTGCTGGTGCAGGCATGCAGACGCCAGGGGCAGGGAGGGACCTTGATGAGGCGGAGGCTCCGGCTGTGGTGCCGCTGCCAGCTGCGGCGGCCGCTGCCAGCGGCAGCGGAGACACAGGCGCCTCCGGCAGCAGCACCAGCGGCGGCACCAGCAGCGGCACCAGCAGCGGCAGGCGGCTGCTTGTGTGGGCCATCGGCCACAGCAGCAGCGGGGTGCCCGCTGCATGGGCGGCGGCGCGGGGCAGGCCCGGCGTGTTTGCGGCTGACCTGTCGCCAGCTGGCGTGCGCCACCTGGCGGATCTGGTGCGGCACCACAAGCGGCCTGGCGACATTGCCCTGGTGTCAGGTGAGCGGGGGCGTGCAGGCCGCAGCCTGGCTGGCATCACTGGCTGGCAGGTGAGGTGCATGTGGGGCTGTGATGGCATGCTGCCAGCAGGGCAGGCGACCCTGCCTTGCCAGCTGCCCCCTGCTGCTCAAACCCAACCTTCCACTTTGCCTGCCGCACAACCCAGTCCACTGGGGGAGTAACTGGGGCTACAGCGTGCCTGGCGAGCAGCGCGCCTTTGCCCACGCGCTCATCGACCAAGGCGAGCAGGCAGCGCTAGCGCGCCAGGCAGCATGATGGGGCTGCCAGCCAGCCGTGCCGCCGTCACGAGGCAAGGGCCCAGGGCGGCGGGAGGCGGGCGGGCACCCCTCCCAGCTGGCAGCAGCGCCCCAGCAGCCACCCCAGCAGCCTGCTTGGGTAAGCCCGCGCCGGTCCTCCACACGCTGCCCATCTCAGTCTGCCCTGCCGCGCTGTCTTATTCCTCCTGCGTTGCAGCGGGGGTGGATGTGGTGTGCGGCCACTCTTCCCACCACGTCAAGGGCGCCGAGGTGCATGCCGGCAAGCTGGCCATCTACGGCTGCGGCGACCTGGTCAGCGACTATGAAGGGATCGCGGTGGGCTGGGGCTGAGGGTGTAGGCCCACACCTCGATGTGTGGGGGGAGGGGTGGGTTGAAGCTGCAGGGCCGGGCGCCACCCTCAGCGAATGGAGGCAGAGGCTGGGAGGCCGGCTGCAGGGCCGGTGGGTGGCTGGAGGAGACTGCTGCTGCCCGTCCCTGCTCGCCCCGGCCTCACAAGGGCAGCAGCCACCTCTGAGCAGTGCTTGCCGTAACAGATGCTGCCTGGATTGGCCCTGCTTCTGCAGAACACAGCCATCGAGGCGGTGTACCCTCCGGAGCAGTACAGGGACGATGTGGGGTGCCTGTGGTATGCTGACGTGGACGCAGGCGACGGCCGCCTGCGCCAGCTCACCGTCACCCCCACCCGCCTCAAGTGCGCGGGGGCTGCGGGAAGGGCAGCGGAGGCAGGGGGAGCCGGCTGGAAGGGGAGACATGCACGCTGCCTGTGGCACGCTGCCTGCTCTGCCGCGGCCTGGGCTGGCTGTCGCCCACGGCGCCGCCGTGCGGGGTGCATGTGCTGGCCGGCTGCCGCTGTCCTCGCCACCCCACCCACCCCACAGACACCCTGACAGCCACGGCAGCGCCGCCGATGTGCATGCAGGAAGCTGTCGCTCCACCCGCCGGAGCCGGTGGACTGGCGCTACCTGGCGCGTGTGCTGGAGCGGGAGTGCGGGCGGCTGGGGGGGCTGGGCCTGCCGCGGGCGACGGGCGACGGCTCCAGCCTGGTGCTGGCGCCGGCGCCGGCGCAGGAGGAGTGATATGGGAGATCATCAGATGTGTGTGGTCTGTGCAGCTGCAATGCCTGCTGGAATGCCCGGTCAAATGTCGACTTTACATGTGCTGCAACAGTAGCGCGCAACAGGGCAGCTGCGGCGGCAGTACAGGGCGCAGGCTGCTGGTGTGGGTGATGGAAAAAAAGAAGAAAGCTTGACGCAAGCAAGTATCAATTGGGGGGTCCATCATTGTCAGGGGATATAGTGTGTATGTTTCTTTGCATTGGATGCGGGAACATCAAAAACGCAGTGAGCACTTTGAAACACTGTCCAGGTTACATGCACCGGCTGGCGCCAGCTGGCGCCGCCTGTGGCCGCTGCCATCCATTGCTCCGGCAGGCATCGCGGGGCGCCCTCCTGGGCGGCGCTTGCAGGGCCGCGGCAGAGCTCAGGAGGGTGCGGCTCTGCGCCATCGGGGTGCTGCAGGTGCCGGGATGGCAGGCAGGGGGTCTTGGGAAGAAGTGGCGGCTGCGACGCGAGTGCACGAGGAACAGGTGGGCCGAGGCAGGCTCAGGTGGATGCTATGCTGGAATTGAATTGAATGGCTTTAGGGGCGCCGAAGTTGAAGGCCGAGGCCGGCCTACCGAGAGCTCCTTGTGATGGCTACATGCCCTGTACTTGGAGCGGCCATTGCGGACGGCGAGGATGACTGCTCAGGGGCTCTCAATGGGCTGTATGGACGGTAATATGACGAAAGGCCTTGGGGGCGACGGGGTTGGATGCCCGCCGGCGGGTCACCGGGGCGTGCAACTTCGGGGCGGTGCCGCCGCCGCCACCCGCCCACGTCGTCCTCGGCCCAGCGCTGCTCCGCGGTTTATGCTGTCATACGAATGTCCATGCATGCCGGCATCAGGCGCAGCCGCCACTTGCCAATGCCGTCGGCTTGGGATAGCTGCCCACGGCCCGCTCGTGCGCCCGCCACGTCAGCCGGCTTGGGCGGCTGGCCGCGGCCGCTGGCCGCGCCAATCGAAAGGGCGGCGCCGGCTCCCGTTGCACACTGCCCCTCACTCCCAACCTTCACGTTTTAAACAAGCCTAGGACTGGCCAGGGTGGAAGCAAGCAAGCGATCACCGCCGGCACAGCAGCGCGATCGACGGTGCTTGGGCCGCGGGTGTGTTCAGCGTATTGCTCTGTGCAGATATGCAGCGCGGCCGCCTGCTCCCCGCCGCCTGCAACTCTCTGAGGTTTCGGGCCGACCTCTTCTGAACTGCCAGCCCTTCACCTTGCCTTCTGTTGTGTCGTGGGGCGGCTGGCCGGCTGGCGACACGCGCTGCCAGGCCCATGGCCCGTTGCTGCCGCTGCCGCGCCGGCGCCTTCCGCTCACGGCGTGCCGCCGTGCGCGTGTTGCTGCAGGGCAGCAACCCAGGTCTGCCGCAATGCAGCTGACGGTGACCACAGAGAGTGATTCCATCCTCACAATCGACGTGGGTGCTGCGCCTGCTCACCGCTGCTCCTGTGCCCGCAGCCCCGCACCCTCCCTTCCAGGGCTTGCATCCGCGGCCGTTGCACCCAGCTCTTCAGCCTGCTTGTTGCTTGCTTGGTTGCTTCTGTGGGCTTACAGTCAGGTTTCAGCAAGAGCAAGCGTGCAGCACAGACTTTGGGGCCCGCTTGTTGTTGCACCCACCTCAACCTGCTGCAGCTGGACCCAGCAGACCCAGTGGCCACGCTCAAGGCTGTGCTGGAGGCGGAGACCGGGGTACCCGCCGCGCAGCAGCGCCTGATCCACAACGGGCGCGAGCTGGGCGGCAGCGGGTGCGCCTGCCGGCCACGCAGCCGCCGCCCCCGCCGCTCCGTCGACTGCTGAGGCTTGCCGCCGGGCCGGGATGCCCCCCTGTCTGGTGGTGGCACCTCCTCCCCGCGTCCTGACGTGGGCCTGTGCCCCTGCTCCTGCACCCTGCAGCACCCTGGGCGCACTGGGGGTCCAGCCAAACGACCTGCTCTTCGTGCAACGCCGCGCAGCCGCCCCTGCCGCCGCCGCCGCCGCTCCCGGCACGGCGGCCCCTGCGCCGGCGGGCAACCCCAGCGCCATGCACCCGGACGGCAGCGCTGTGAACCCGGAGCTGCTGATGCAGATGCTGGCGGCCAGCCCTGGGCAGCTGGAGAGCCTGCCTGCAGAGCTGGGGGAGGCGGTGAAGGCGCAGGATGTGGGCAAGTTCCAGGTGTGGGGGGGAAGTTACAGCGGTGGGAGGCTGGGAGGCAGGGATGGGCGAGGCGGCAGGCATGGGGTGCGGGGCGCGGCTGCCGTAGCGTGGAGGAGCGGCTAGACCTCCCGCTGATGCTGTCGCGCCCCGCTGCGCTGCCCTTTTCCTGTCGGCAGGAGCAGCTGCGGCGCATGGGGGCCGCGCGGCGGCAGGCGGAGGAGGAGGAGCGGCGCTTCCGCCAGCTGGCGGAGGCGGACCCGTTTAACCCGGAGGTGCAGGTGGGCGGTACTGCTGGTACTGCTGGTAGTGATGGATGGTGCCACCTCCTGCACCACCCTCCCCGCTCGCTCCCCAACCTTGCCACGCCATCACGGCACAGCCAGCCGGCAGCTGCCCGTGCACAGCTGCACAGCTGCACGCTGGCGGCCCAGGCACGCTCGTTTTGCTGCCGCCCCCCGTGCCGCAGCGGCGGCTGATGGAGGCGATTGAGAGCCAGAACGTGCACGACAACTTCGAGACAGCGCTGGAGCACAACCCCGAGGCCTTCTCGTCCGTGTGCATGCTGTGAGCGTGCGGGCGGGCGGGTGGTGGCGGGTGGTGGTGGGTGGGTGTGGTGGGCGGTTGAGCTGGTGCTGGTGGCGAGCCTGTGTGCTTTGAGCGAGCAAGGGCCTGGCTGCCTGCTCGCCTGTCTGCTCTAAGGGCCCCCCTTGCGGCTGCTCGACGTCCGCGGCACCATCATGCCCCTCCCCACCCCTCCACCCCACCCCACCTTCCCGGCAGCTACGTCAACATGGAGGTGAACGGCTTCCCGCTGAAGGCATTCATCGACAGCGGCGCGCAGGTGGGGCGCAGGGGAGGTGGCAGAGAAGGAGAAAAGGGCGCTGCAGCAGCAAAACGCGGCCGTGTGCCTCCCCGCCTCCCCACCACCCACCCACCTGCAACACTATGTGTGCACCCACCCTCCGCCGCCCCCTGCGCAGATGACCATCATGAGCCGCTCGTGCGCCGAGCGCTGCAACCTGCTGCGCCTCATGGACCGGCGCTGGCAGGGCACGGCGGTGGGGGTGGGCTCAGCCAAGATACTGGGTGAGGGGCGCGGGGCGGCGGCGGGGCGAAGAAGTGAATGCCTGCTTGCCTGCCGGAAGCTGCGCGTGCGGCGCTCCCACCTCGCGCCGCCCGCGTCGCCCGCCTCGCCGTTTCCTCGGCCCCACGCGCACCACGCAGCCTGCACACCCGCGCCCACCCCTCGTCGTGCCTGCTGCGCTTTCCTCCCGCCTGTCTGCCCTCCAGGCCGCATCCACATGGTGCAGGTGAAAGCGGGGGCCCACTTCTTCCCCGTCTCCATCACCGTGCTGGACCAGGACGGCATGGAGTTCCTGTTTGGGCTGGAGAACCTGAAGCGGCACCAGGTGTGTGTGTGTGTGCGCGCGCGCGCGCGCGCGTGTGTGTGTGTGGTGGTCGGTGTGTGTGTGTCTGGTGGGGCGGTTCCTGGGCGGCAGCCCTCGCCACGCCCGAGCTCCGGGAGCATCTCTTCGGTCCCTGCTCCTCGTGAGGAGCCCGCCATGCCGCTCAGCGCCCTCTCCTTCCTCCCACTTCTCCTGCCCTCCTCTCTCCTCTGCCTCCTGCCCCTTCCCATCCACACCCCATCCACCCCATCCATGTACCCCACTCCACCCACCCACCACAGTGTTCCATCGATCTCGCCGCCAATGTGCTGCGCTTTGGGTCCACGGGAGACGCGCTGCCGTTCCTGCCGGAGCACGAGATCCCGCAGAAGGAGGCGCAGCTGTCGGGAGGCGGCGAGCGCGGCGGCGGCGGCGCCGCCGCGGGGCCCTCCAGCGCGGCGGCAGGTGGGGTGGGGTGCTCGGTGGGGTGCAGGCAGGAGGGCGGCGGCGGTCGTGTTGGCCTGCACATGATCTGCTGGCTGCTGGCTGCTGGTGGCGTGGTGAGGATAGCTGAGTTGGCCGCCTGCCTTCCTGCCTACCCACCTCCCTGCCTGCAGCGCGCCCCCCCGCACCAGCAGCCCTCGCGCCGGCCCCGCCCGCGCCTGCGCCCGCGGCGGCGCCTCCCGGCGGCGGCGGCGGCGGCCTGCCTGCGGGGTGGGAGGACAAGGTGCAGCGCCTGCAGGCCCTGGGCTTCGCCAGGGAGCAGTGCGTGCAGGCGCTGCGCAGCACGGGAGGCAACGAGGAGATGGCTGGGTCGCTGCTGTTTGGCGCCTTCTGACTCTTGAGAGGGGGTGCTGCCTGCCTCGCCAAGCGGTGGCCGAATCGGGTGGAGCGAGCAGGCGGCAGCGGCATGTCACCCTGTTGAGACGGCGCGCCGCACAGCTTGCGTGTGTGCACCCGTGCGACTGCTTGTGTAACTGGCTGGCAGCACCATCGCAACAGGCAGTGCACGACGCAGGCGGCGGAGGTGGCGGCGCCACCTGGGCGCGCCGCCCGACGTGCTCATCTCGCGGTTGCATGCCCTCCTTCGATGCCAATTGTGGTTCATAGTGTCCTCCGTGTGGCTTCCTCTGGCATTCCTGCAGCAACGACAGCAGGGGAGACCCCATCGCGTCCATTAACCTCAGAAACTCCCCCGCGATGGCACTCACAGCCTCCAGCAGGACGTGTCTACCATTCCAGACCGTCGCCTCTGGGCGCAGCGGCAGGCGGCCCACAAACATTGTTGTCACACAGTGCAGTGCAGCGGCCGAGCCACAGGTGGCCAGGCGCAGCCTGCTGGGCGTGGCCCTGCTGGCGGCGACATCGGCGGCACCCGCGCAGGGTGCGTTCCGCTGCCGGCTGCCGCCGCCGCTGCCGCTGCCTGCCGCCACCTGCTGCTGCCTGCCACGTGGCATCACCTCCTGCTTGACGTCTGCCCTGATGATCACCTGCTCCTCCCTTTTGTGCCACCGCAGCCATCCTGCCTGTCAGCCGCTGGGACGGCGAGAGCAGCGCAGTGGGATCTTGTGAACTGGGGGAGGCAGGGGACGCGTGCCCCCAGGCAATCCTGGCGTGAGTGGCGCCTGCCGCGTCGGTTGGCGGTGGTGGGAGGGGGTACCTTTCGGGCCCTCCCGCCGGGGCATCGGTTTTTTATCGGGTTGGTTTCAGCCTGGTCTCCACTGGTCCCCCCACGGTCTTCCCTCCTCCCCCCCTTTTTTTCGTGGGCCGGGTTGACCCCCATATTCTTCCCTACCGCTTCCCAAAATCAGTACTGCCCACTTCGCACCCACACCCGCAGTGGCAACCCCGCCGTGCTGGGCTCGTACGACGCCAAGGCGGGAGGAAAGCGCGGTGCTCAGTGGGCGGGCGGCGTGCCGGTGGCCGACATGGGCGCCGCCTCGCCCTACGCCCGCGACACGCTGGCGCTGACAGACCGAGTGCTGGCCTTTGCCGCGCTCAACGGCGACCCGGCAAACCCAGAGCGCATCCAGGTGGGCTTGCGGGCGGGCTGGGAGGATGGCGGTCGGCTGGGGAAGGCGGGTGTGGGTGGTTGTGATTGGCCAAGGCCGGGTGGCGGAGAGGCGGAGGTGGTGAGGGTGCCGCGCCCGCCTGCACCACGTGCATGCCTGAGCCAGTGCCTGCACTCTCATCCCCTCTTCCATGCATGCCCTGCTGTGGCCCCCACCCGCCTGCAGCTGGTCAAGGAGCTGAAGACTGAGTTCCCGGGATGGGTGTCCAAGTGAGCTGGGCGGCGCCTGCCCGACGCCGCCTGCCAGCCCTGCAGCAGCTGCCTGCAGCCTGCCCGCCGGCCCAGGGGCAGCGGCCTGGCACCCCGCCGCCGCGCTGCCGGCCCCAGGCTCGCAATCCAGTGCTCGTCGCGCCGCCCCTTCACCCCTGTCGCCCGTACCTTTAACATGTACCTTTTACCTGTACCTGTCACCCCCCACCCCCACCTCCCGCCAGGTATGCGCGCGGCGGCTCCGCCCGCACCGTGTCTGCCCGCAAGGTGTATGTCGTGGTGGACGCCATCTCCGCCCACTTTGCACAAAACGGGTGCGCTGCCCGGCTGGGGAGGGCAGGCGCGGGCAGCCGGCGCCTGCGCTCGGGCAGAGGGTGTCGTCCCCGGAGCGCAGCCCCTGCCCGCCGGCCTCCCGAGCTCGCCCAGCCCAGCTCAGCTGCAGCCTGCATGGGCCTTCAGCCTGGCTAGGCGTTCACCTCCTAGCGCCCTCCCCGCGCCTTGCTCCCCTGCAGGCTGGCACCCGTCCCCAAGACCAAGATGGCGAAGCTGGAGGGGGATGTGCAGGTGGCGCTTGCGGCGCTGGCAGAGGGCAGGTGACGCGGGTGGCGCCCTGGTGGGGCACACCTCTTTTTTCGTTTGTTTGTTTGTTCAAGCATTTTTTTCTGATTTGGCACTGCATTTCTTCTTTGTTTTGTTTGTTCCGAGCAGCAGTTTGCTTCAGGCTGTTTTTCCCACAGATCCTGCAGATGTGTAAGAGCTTGATTCCTGTGGCTGTGCTCGGTCTTCGGGGCACGCCTGCCAGCCTGCAGCAGAGTTTTGAACCTGCCCTGCCGGCCAGCACACCCAGCCGGCCAGCATTATGCCTGCTCCAGAAAGGGCAGGCTAGGCCTCAGGCTATGCCTCTGCCAGCAGGGCGCGGAGGTAGGACAGCGGGATGCGGTGCGCCTCTGCCAGCTGGCGCCGCACGGCGACCTCATCCAGCGGCGGCGGCATGGCGAAGCAGGGCCCGGCGGCGTGGGGGCTGGGGCCAGCCCTGGCCGGTGCCTTGGCGCGGGATGCCGCTTGTGGTGCCGCTGCAGCAGCGTGGGTCGGCTCGGGGGCCTGGAAGGCCGCGAGCCGTACGGCTGGAGGCTGCTGCAGGCGCTGCGCCGGTGCCGGGGCGCGTGCGGCGCATGCGGCATCGCGCGGCGAGGCGCCGCCGCCCCCGATGCACAGCTTCTGAGGCGGCTGGCTGGCGGCCATTGGCAGCAGCCTGCCTATGCAGCTGCTGCCCACGCGAGGCAGCGGGTGCTGCGCCAGCGCCGCCGCCAGCAGCTGCAAGGAGGAGCAGGGCGGGGAGGCGGGGTGAAAGGCCAGCGTCGAAGCAGCACGCAGCAGCTCTCTGCCAGGGGCCGCTGTGCCGGTGCCAAGCAGCCCACCATGCGCCAGCCTCCAGCCCAAAGCCTGCCGCCACAACCGCAGCCAGCTTACCAGGCAGCCGGCGGCGGCTGCAGGCTCCCCGCTGCTGCTGCCGCCCGCAGGTGGTGTGATGGGTCTGGCATACACCGCCGCCTCCAGCTTCTGGGCAGCTGCCGCTAGGTCCCCGTGCCTGGGGTGGCTCACCGGCAGCAGCGCCGATGGCGGTACCGGCAGGACCGGCAGGTTGCCTGCAGGCGGGTGCAGCGGCGGGGACAGCGCGTTGGTGGGTGCAGGGCTGCCCTGTACCTGCTGTCGCTGCCTAGCATGCCATCTGCAAATCAAGCCTGTGGCTCACTCAGCAGCTGGGTGGCGGCGGGCAGGCTGGCGGCGGGCTCGGGTGGCGGCAGGCTCTCGGGCAGCACCGCCGGCAGGCGCTGCACCCGCCGCCCTGCGGTGGCGGCGGCGGCGGGTGCTGCAGCAGCAGGCACAGCGGGCAGTGCTGCTGTGGGCGCTGCCGTTGCAGGCACAGGGGGCCGGGCTGCTGTGGGCGCTGGCGATGTGGGTGCTGCATCGGTTGCATTGCGGCTGGGCTGGGCTGGTCCTGCGCTCGAGCCGGGTGCTGCTTCCGCCACCATCCCTGCCGCTCCGCTCTTCCCTGCATCGGTGCCGCAGGCTGTTGCCTTGTCCTGCTGCGGCAGCGGCGCCGGCACTGCCTCTGGCTTCCTCTTGCGCAGCAGGCCGGGCAGCTTGACCCTCTGGGGCCCGGGTGGCAGCTCAGCGGCGGCGGCACGGGGGGTGTGGTCAGCGCATGCGGCTTTGGCGCTGCCCGCCTTGCTGCCTTGCTCGTCTCCACGTGGCACGGCAGCAGGCTGTGGGGCTGGGGCCTTGGGAGGCGGGCGCAAGGCTGGGAGCTTGAAGGGGCGCCTGACCGCAGGCAGCGCTGGCTCGACCTGCTTCTGAGCGCTGTTGACCGCGGCGGGCGCGGAGCCGGCGACTGGCGTAGCGCTGGCGGCGCGCCCGGCCGCCAGCACGGGCGTCTGGAACTGCAGGCCCCCAGGCAGGCAGGGTGTGGGCGGCAAGTTGGCGAGTGTAGCAGGCCGGGCCTGCCAGGCACTTGCAAGCTGCTGTGTTTTCAAACCCGGTGCACCTGCTTCCTCTTCATCCCTCCTCTGAGGAACCAGCTATGATGAGGCGGTATGTTGACGGTGGATGGTCACGGTGGAGCGGGCTGGCGTCTTCTCCTGCTCCTGGGAAGGATTGCTGCCGTGCGGGGGCGGCGGGTGGAAAGTGGGCGCCCATTTTCATGTGCGTCCATTCGCCGCCCCCGTCGCTGCGATCCTCCCAAACACGTTCAAGGGATAGCCGGGCGCCCCGATAGCGCGTGTATTGTCGCCCGATCGTCGCATCACAGCGTTTGCCGTGGCCTGGGCGTTGGCGGAGCGGCCCACGGCTGCTGGTCAGGCCAGGGGCGCAGATAGGAGGTAGGTATGGGGGCTGGGGGGCCGCGTTTGCTTCACACCCCATTGCCAACAGACCGCGCTCGGGTTGCGCCCCGCCCGCCCTGCGCCGTCTCTGCTTGCATGCTGGTCTGGAGCACTGCTGCGCAAGCGCGCCCGATCCAGCGCCCGGCGAGCCGGGCCCATTGCCGCCGCCCCCTTCTTGCCGCCGCTGGCGCACCCGCAGTGCGTTTAATGCCCCCGTCTCTTCCTGCCCTGCTGCTGCGCGTGCAGGAGCTAGGAGGGATCAGCCACGATGCTGAGTGAGCGGCCGCCTCGCCTGCTTCCCGGTTGGTTTCCCGCTTGCACCTTGCTGCTCTGCGCCCTTGCCGCTTCCCACACACGCCGCCCCCCCCTTGAACCTGCTCTGCGGCCCCACCGCTGCCCGCCTGGTCCCCGCAGCCAAGTTTGAGACCAAGTCCAACCGCGTGAAGGGGCTGTCCTTCCACCCCAAGCGGCCATGGATCCTGGCCTCGCTGCACAGCGGCGTCGTGCAGCTGTGGGACTACCGCATGGGCACCCTCATAGACCGCTTTGACGAGCACGACGGTTGGGCCGCCGCCTCCCTGCTGCTTCCTGCTTGCTGCCGATTGCTGCTGCTTGCTGCTCCGCTGCCTGCTGCTTGGCTGGGCCCAGGATGCGGCACGGGGTGCGGTCGGGGGAGGGCTGGGGGGGAGGGCATGGGAGCGGAAGGGGTGGGAGGGGAGCTCAAGGCAGCTCACTGCTGCGTTGCGGGTGTGCCGCCCGCCGCCTGCAGGGCCCGTGCGCGGCGTGCACTTCCACCCCAGCCAGGTGAGGCGGGCGCAAGAGCGGGCGCGGGGCTGACCGTCCGTCCCCCGCGCGGCTCTCCATCCCACCCCTCCTCGCCGCTTGGCGTTGTCGCCTCCGCTTGGCTGCACCCGCCACCACACACGCACGCGCGCGTGCCAACCCGTCGCCCCCGGCGCGCCGCCCTGTGGTACCCGCGCCCCGCCTCCCTTCCCAACCCCCTGCAGCCCCTGTTTGTGTCTGGCGGCGACGATTACAAGATCAAGGTGTGGAACTACAAGCAGCGGCGCTGCCTGTTCACGCTGCTGGGCCACCTGGACTACATACGCACCGTGCAGGTGGGCGGGCTGGCTGGGTGGCTGGGTGGAGGCGCTGGAGCTGCTGGCTGGCCGGGTGGCGGCGGCGGTGGCGGTTTCGGCTGGCTGCCGGTGGCGGCTGGGCGGCGGCGCCCGCCATTGCTGGCGGGCGCGGGGGCTGCTGTGGGGCATGGGAGGGCTGCGGGGGCGGCGCCAGCGCTGCGCCGGGCCGGGCCGGCTGTGGGGGCTGGCCGTCGCCGCTGCACGCCCAGCGCTTTGGTGCTGTTGACGGGGGGAGGGCGTGGGAGGCCATCCCAGCGCATCACACGCCTGCAGCTAATGCCGCCCCCTCATCCCTCTCCCCTTCTTCCTTCTCTCCCCCTCACCCACCACCACCACACCCACAAACGCAACAGTTCCATCACGAGTACCCCTGGATCGTGTCTGCCTCGGACGACCAAACCATCCGCATCTGGAACTGGCAGTCGCGCAACTGCATCGCAGTGCTGACAGGTGCGCCCGGCGGCACGGCTGGCACCGGGCGGTGCTGCCGGTGCTGCGGCATGCTGGGGTGTAGGCGGCGGTTGGGTGGCGCCAGGGTGGTGGGGGTAGGGAGCAGGGGGCTGGTCCCCCCTGGGGCTGATATGGAGGTTCGGCGGCGGGCGGCGGATCGCTTGAGGGCCTGGGGTCGTGGTAGCTGACAGCTGACAGCTGCCATGTACCGCCGTCCGTACCGCCCCCATACCGCAGGCCACAACCACTACGTCATGTGCGCTCAGTTCCACCCCAAGGAGGACCTGGTGGCATCCGCCTCCCTGGACCAGACGGTGGGCCCCGCCTGCGTGTGTGGGCGGGAGCGCCAGCTTCTGGACGCGCCCCTCCCCGCTTGCCTGCTGCCCGTCGCTTCCTCCCATTCCCTGCCTCCGGGTTATGCCCTGGCACACACAACTTAGCCCAGCCATGCCCGCCTGCCTGCCCTCTCGCCTGCAGGTGCGCGTGTGGGACATTGCCGCGCTGCGCAAGAAGACTGTGGCACCGGGGGCGGGCGGCGGCGACGACATGCGGGGGCCAGGCGGCGGCCGGGTGAGCCGTGTTCTGCGGGGCGGCTGCCATGCCCTGCGGGGCTTCTAACGGCGTGGGCCTCGCTGCCGCCGGCCGTTTGCCGGGCTGCATCCCTCCCTGCCCTGTCTGCGTTGTTTGATTGCACCCGCCACCCTCCCTTCTTAACATTGTTGCTTCGCTGCCGTTCTCTCCTTCCTCCCTACCCCCTCGCACAGATGAACACCGACCTGTTTGGCGGAGGCGACGCCATCGTCAAGTATGTGCTGGAGGGGCACGACCGCGGCGTCAACTGGGCCTCCTTCCACCCCTCCCTCCCCCTCATCGTCAAGCGGCGCGGACGACCGCCAGGTCAAGCTGTGGCGCATAAACGGTGAGGAAGGGGCTGGGGGCGGTGGTGACGGCGGGGGTGGTGGGCGAGTCCCCGGTGTGGGTGGCACGGGAGGTTGCGCTGAGGGCCGGGCACCCTGCATGGTGGGGGTGGGTATCAAGGCGGCGGGGGGGGTGCCTCGTACAGCATTGGTTTCATGAGCTTGGGGGCCAGCCCTCCCTCCCCCTCCCTCTGGAACCCTTCCTCCCGGTGCTGCCGCCCCCGTGATGCCGTCCCCTCTCGCCGCTGCTTGGGTCCCTTCCCCCCCCCCCCCCCTCCTCTGCCCCCCACCTGCAGACACCAAGGCGTGGGAGGTGGACACCCTGCGGGGCCACGTCAACAACGTCTCATGCGTCATCTTCCACCCCAAGCAGGTGCGCAGCGCACGGCGCCGGCGGCGAT